TCCCCAGTAGGGGGTGTGTAGGAGGCCGCTGATCGATGTTTTTCTCTCTCATCGATGTTTCTAGCTCTCTATCCCTGTCCCTTCCTCTCTGTAAAAAATCAATAAAATATATATTAAAAAAAAAGATGAGAAAAATCCATGATTGGACTGACAGTTGGAATGCCCATTTTATAGGTTAAGTAACTGGCTTGCGTCCCCAAAGGAGCGGCACAAGCAGGATTCGGTTCCCACTAGCCTGGGTGCCGCGCCGCACTGCGGGAGCCGCAGGGAGTGGTGCTGGGTGCAGGGCCTGGGAACCAGCCTTCCCCTCTGGGGTGTCTGTAGGCTGCAGGCTGACTGTGACGTTGGAACCCCGCCCCCAAAGGCAGAAAGAACATTGTGAACCAGGCATTCGTCAGCAGCATTTCCAGGGAGCATCTACTTGATGAACTCAGGAAAGGAGAACTTAAACAATATGTGGATGAATTTTCCAAATGAGCAAAAGACACCCTAGAATGTGGGAGCAAGACGTAAAGTCTGTACACACGTGGATATGGAGACCGGGCCCTCCTAACTGATGGAGAAAGGGTAATGCTGATGCGTGACGAGGCACTTTCACACCTGTTAGCTCACTTGATCCCCCCCCAAATAGCCCCGGGAGACCCAGGTGCCAGTCTTGTTCCCACTGGGCAGGTGATGGAATGAGGTTTAGTGGAACCACGTGCAATCCCCAGAGTCACCAAGCCCGCGTGCAGCTGCGACTCGTCCACGCCCAGACCCTACCCAGGGGTCCTCAAACTTTTTAAAGTGGGGGCCAGATCACGGTCCCTCAGAGAGCTGGAGGGCCGGACTATAAGAACTACTAATTCCTACTGTAACACCTCGGCTGCGCTCACTGCCCAAAAAACCTGGCGGGCCGGATCAGACTCCTCTGCGGGCCGCATGTGGCCCGCGGGCCGTAGTTTGAAGACGCCTGCTACGCTCTGCCCTTCCTCCTACACTAGACATGGAGGCTAACGTGTAATAAACATGTTGATTTAGTGCCATTATTAATTAATGAATTAATTCAACGAACGTTGTGCCTTTAATCCTCACCAGAGAGATATTTTTTCCCCACGGCTTTATAGAGAGAGTGGAAGGGGGCGGGGGGAGATCCATTGGTTGCTTCCCTCAAGCACCTAATTGGGGAATTGAACTGGGAATTGAACCCATGACCCTTTGGTGCTTGGCCAGCACTCTAACCATCAAGCCACACTGGTCAGGGTAAACAACATATATTTTGAATGCCGATTAAGAGCCAGACCTAGGGCCAATCAGTGCTTTGGAGGACATACAGCCTAATGGGGACATGCACACGTAAACAGACAGAATAGCCAAAGTTTCGTCAGGATGTATGTTCGATGTGAAGTGGACCCTCAGTGGCCTACACTTTAGGACTACTTTGCCCTAAAGAAGGGCGGCCAGCCACATGGAGTCTTTGAAAAGGAGCCCACAGGGAGCTTTTTAAGGGGGTGTCTTCCCACAGTCTCCGAAAATATTCCAAGTAGAGAGAAAAGCAGCTCACCTGGTCTCAGACACGGCCAGCCTCCTGGGCTCACATGCTGAGGTAACCGGACGACCTTCCAAATGGAACGTGGGAACCCCGGGCCGATCCACTCCAGCGAGAGGAAATCAATGCCCTCGGCAAACAGCCTGTCGCCGTTCACCCTGCTGAGGTTCTCTTTCTGTCGTGAATTAGTAGGTGGTTGTTCTGGGCGAGGGGCAGCTGTGGGCATGTCATTGGGAGTCTGTGTCCTACACGCTGCCACCCAGTGGGACGTTCCGTGACCGTGTTCCACGGCGCAGCCCGTCACGTGTGGCTATTGAAGGTGGGAACGGAAGACGTGATTGATAATGTTATTTCATGGTGATCGATGTGAACAGCCACGGGGAGTGAGGGGCTGGGCCTGCCTGTGGGCCTGCAGCGTCTGCATCGCCAAACTGATCAGAAATGCAGAACCTCAGGCGCCACCCTATCCCCGTGGTCGGCAAACCGCGGCTCGCGAGCCACATGCTGCCTTTGGCCCCTTGAGTGTGGCTCTTCCACAAAATACCACGGCCTGGGCAAGTCTATGTTGAAGAAGTGGCATTAGGAGAAGTTTAAGTTTAAAAAAATTGGCTCTCCAAAGAAATGTTAATCGTTGTGCTGTTGATATCTGGCTCCGTGGACTAATGAGTTTGCCGACCACTGCCCTACACCCACGGCTTCAGAATCCTCGGGTTACAAGATCCCCAGGTGATCTGACTGCACATTAACATTTGAAAATGGCCGAAACCAGTTTGGCTCAGTGGATAGAGCATCAGCCTGCAGATTGAAGGGTCCCAGGTTCGATTTCGGTCAAGGGCATGTACCTTGATTGTGGGCACATCTCAGTAGGGGGTGTGCAAGAGGCAGCTGGTCGAAGTTTCTAACTCTCTATCCCTCTCCCTTCCTCTTTGTAAAAAAATCAATAAAATATATTTAAAAATAAATATATAAAATAAATAATTAAAAAAACATTTGAAAATGGCACGGTTACTGCTTTTTTTTCTTCTAGGGGGTCAGGGACTGGGAGCAGAAAGTAAAGGGTTCCTGGCAAGGTTACTTCAGAATGAGCTGGTGCGGGGTGGGGGATGGGTGCGGGGGGTGAGGACCAGGGAGGACCACACCTGTGGTGGCCTCTCCCAGCTGCAGACACCTGAGGCTGGTGCCCGGCATAAGGGGCCTCTTTCCTGTGTCTGTCTCTCCTCCATCCCTTACACACAGCAGAAAGGGCGAGCAAGAGAGAGCCTGGCCACTGCGTCTGAGGCGGTGCTCGGCAAACTCACGAGTCCACAGAGCCAAATACCAACAGCCCAACGACTGAAATTCCTTTGGAGAGCCACACTTTTTTAAACTTAAACTTCTTCTAATGCCACTTCAACATAGACTCTCCCAGGCCGTGGTATTTTGTGGAAGAGCCACATTCAAGAGGCCGAAGAGCTGCATGTGGCTCGAGAGCCGCCGTTTGCCGACCACGGGTCTAAGGAAAGTTGTGGGGGTGAGGGTTTGGGGGAAGGACATGTGTTTCCCCGGGGCCCGTTACAAAAGAAAACGATGGAATTTCCTTACTGAGAACTGAATGGGAATGGTCCCTACATGGGAGTTGGTTGCATTCTTCCCTCCACTTCTGTGTAGGTTTGAATTCCTTCAAAATCATAAAAACAGATGTGACTTCCGTGACGATGTGTGTGAGAGCCAGCCCCGCCCCTGCACCCCTCGTGCGCTCTCCTTCCTTCCACGCTGAGTCAGGGTGGTCCATGCAACTCCCAACATGGAGGTGACAGGTGTGGCCTCGGAGAGCCGGCTCGGTGTGACTCCTGCCTGGCTGGCTCTTGGCGATCTTGCTCCGGAGGAAGCTGGCCACCGGGCTGCGAGGACACTCCTGCGGTCTCGTGGAGAGACCTCCAGGGAGAGGAGCCAAGGCCGCCCGCCCACAGCCAGCCTCACGAGTGAGTCAGGGAAAGAAGTCCGTTCTCCAGCCCCAGCCTCGCCTTCCAGTGATCCACCCACCGTACTCCATCTGATGTGTGATGGTAGCTGCCTAGAGACCCCTGCCCCCAAGCCCACAGCCCGCCAAAGCACCCCTGAATCTCTGACCAACAGAAACTGCCTGTGACAGGCATGGAGTGTCTGTATCATCCTATGAAACCACTGTGTTAAAGTCTGGGGGTTGTTATGCAGCAATAGGAAAGGATACAAGGTCATTTCGGGGTTTCTCACTCCCTCATGCCCTCCCGACTCACCACGGAGGCCAGGGCGGGCAGGAAGAAGACACACCACGCCGCAGGAGGCTGCCATGCTGATATCCCTCGGAGAGATCCTGCGCTCACTTAAGTCCTGGGCAGACACCCGTGAGGGACAGACGTTCTCTGTAAAACCCTCAGCAGGCTAATGGACTGCGCTATTCGTCTCAGTGTGCTCCTGCTGCCCTCAGAGACGAGAAAGAATAAAAAGGGAACTTCTTCCTCGGGGGCCACCACCCCATAGCTAGAGTCTGGATCATAAGGTCTCCACTCTCCCTACCCGCCCCTGGCCCAGCCCTAACCCCTAACACACTTCCTGAGAACAGCTTCTTCTGTTTCAGTGCTGCACCCGCCCCCAACAAGACCCCCGGCCCTTCATCTTTAGGGTTTGGTGACAGAGCATGGCTCCAGAAGGAGGGGCGTGTGTGGCAGGGGGAGGTGGAAAAGGGCTGGCATTGGGGCAGAAAGGGCGCTGGTGGCCAGGCCCAAAGGAAGAACGACCCCCCAGGCTGGGAGGGTTTTAAAGTTTCCAGGAAGAGAAAGAAGCCTGTGGCTGGTTTGTCTGCAGCCCGTGTGTGTTTGTGTTTGTGTGTGTGTGTGTGTGTGTGTGTGTGTGTGAGGGATGGGGTGGGAATTGCCGAAAAGGGTGTCTAAAGAGTGGGATCTGGGGCCTGCACATGCGCCACAGCCCCCCCCCCCCTTACCCCCTCTCCTGCCCATCTGCCTCGCAGGCTGGGGCGCTGAGCCTTCCTTGGCACCCAAGGGCGGGGGTGGAGTGAGTGGTGGCATCAAGGAGGGGTCAGGGGCCGGGGAAGGCGCTTCCCCAAATTTTTGGGGACTTCGCAGCCGTAGAGAGAGGGGGGAGGGGGAACCTAATGAATTTCCCGCCAACCCTGAGCTTAGATTGCTTTAATTTGCAAAATCAAAAGACGTGCGGCGCCGGTTGCAGCAGCAAATTCACTCCGAGCTACTCCTCCGGAGATCTGTTTGGGGGCGCCGGGACGGGGATGGGGGAGGCGGAGCGAGCAGCAGAGCCCCCTCCCCGACAATCCCCGCCGCCGGTGGGTCCCGGGCCCGGACGCTCCCGGGAGCCGCTGCCCGGCGCGGGGCTCCCCGCAAACGCCGCACGTGCGCCCCGCCCCGCGCGCGCGCCCGGCTCCGGCGGCCACGGGCGCGCGCGCGGTGCCGCTGCCCCCACGCCGCCCCGGCGCTCCGATCGCGCCGCTCCGCCGGGCCCACCGCGCTCCGCAGGCGGCAGGCGGCCGGGGTCGCGGGCCCCGCGGGCGGAGGCGCCGGGAGGAGCCCGGGAGGCGGGCCATGTCGCCGGGCGCGGGCCGCTGCGTAAGGCGGGCGCCGCCGCCACAGGCCGGCCGGTGAGGCGCCGCCGCCGCGGAGGCCGCGACCGGAGCGCCGGACCCGCCATGGGCTGAGACCGTCCTCGCCGCCGAGCAGGTGCAGTGACCCGAGGCCCCGGAGGGGGGAGCCCGCCCCAGGCCCGGGGCCCAGCCCCGGGGCGCGCCCGCCCTGCCCTGCGAGCCGGTGCCCCTGACCTCCCCCCTGGCCGCCCCGGAGGCCCTGGGACCCCCCTGCACGGCGGCCCGGGCGGCTGGGAAACCACAGCAACCTGAGGTCTCCGCACGTCCCCCGCCCGCCTGCCACCCGGCCCGGCCAGCCCCGTGTCCACCTCCTCTGGCCCCGCATTTAAAAAATATATATTTTATTGATTTTTCACAGAGAGGAAGGGAGAGGGATAGAGAGTTAGAAACATCAATGAGAGAGAAACATCGATCAGCTGCCTCCTGCACACCCCCCACCGGAGATGTGACCGCAACCAAGGTACATGCCCTTGAGCAGAATTGAACCTGGGACCTTCCAGTCCGCAGGCTGACGCTCTATCCACTGAGCCAAACCGGTTTCGGCTGGCCCCGCGTTTTGAGGCACTGCCTGCAGCCGGGGAGCTGGCCGGCATCTCTGCCTTTGACTTCTAGTCCAATGGCGCAGGGGGGTAAGGTGGGGGGAGGATGGGGGGGTTCGGGGGGTGGGTCCTTCCCTCCTTGGTCCTAGCCCATCCTCTCTCCCTCATGCCTGTGCTGAAAGACCCTTCTTTGTCCCTCCAGATCACGCTGGGGTGACCCCCTCCCGGACCTTCCTGGCGGCCTTCCTCGCTCCCCGGTGACACTATGCAACCCCCGCGGGACCTGCGAGGCCTCTGGCTGCTGCCGCTGCCCTGGTTCCTGCTCCTGGGCGGCGGCGGCGAGGTGGCCGGAGCCGGCCGGCTGGCGGTCAGCTGCCCGGCCGCCTGCCTGTGCGCCAGCAACATCCTCAGCTGCTCCAAGCAGCAGCTGCCCAACGTGCCCCACGCCCTGCCCAGCTACACGGCGCAGCTGGACCTCAGCCACAACAACCTGAGCCGCCTGCGGGCCGAGTGGACCCCCACGCGCCTCCCCCACCTGCACTCCCTGCTGCTGAGCCACAACCACCTGCACTTCATCTCCTCCGAGGCCTTCTCCCCGGTCCCCAACCTGCGCTACCTGGACCTGTCCTCCAACCAGCTGCGCACGCTGGAGGAGGCGCTGTTCAGCGAGCTGCAGGCCCTGGAGGTGCTGCTGCTCTACAACAACCGCATCGTGGCCGTGGACCGCGCTGCCTTCGAGGATGTGGCCCAGCTGCAGAAGCTCTACCTGAGCCAGAACCAGATCGCCCGCTTCCCCCTGGAGCTGGTGCGGCTCCCCAAGCTGGCGCTGCTGGACCTCTCGGGCAACAGGCTCAAGAGCCTGCCCGTGGCCGAGCTGCAGAAGCTGCCCGCCTGGGTCAAGAACGGGCTGTACCTGCACAACAACCCGCTGCACTGCAGCTGCGAGCTCTACCAGCTCTTCGCCCACTGGCAGCGCCGGCGGCTCAGCCCCGCCGTGGACTTCCAGGAGGACCTGCGCTGCCTGAGCGCCAAGAAGCCCTACAGCGTCTTCGGCCTCAACTGCAGCGAGTACAAGGAGCGGGCCTGGGAGGCGCACCTGGGCGACAGCCTCACGCTCCACTGCGACACCAAGCAGCAGGGCACGACGAAGACGTGGGTGACGCCGGGCCTCGAGCGGGTGCCGGACGCGGCCGCGGCGCCGGCCAACGGCACGGCGCGGGTGCTGGGGAACGGCAGCCTGCACCTGCAGCGGGTGCAGCCGGAGGACGGCGGCGTGTACACCTGCTTCGCCGTCGGCGAGGCGTTCAACGAGACGCTGTCGGTGGAGCTGAAGGTGCACAACTTCACGCTGCACGGCCACCACGACACCCTCAACACGGCCTACACCACGCTGGTGGGCTGCATCCTCAGCGTGGTGCTGGTCCTCATCTACCTGTACCTCACGCCCTGCCGCTGCTGGTGCCGGGGTGTGGACAAGCCGGCCAGCCCCCAGGGGGACAGCCTCAGCTCCTCCATGCTCAGCACCACGCCCAACCACGACCCCGTGGCCGGAGGCGGGGGGGACAAGCAGGAGGAGGAGGAGGAGGAGGAGGAGGACTTTGACCGGCGGGTGGCCTTCCTGGAGCCTGCGGGGCCCGGGCAGGACCAAAACGGCAAGCTCAAGCCGGGCAACACCCTGCCGGTGCCCGAGGCCGCGAGCAAGGGGCAGCGGAGGATGTCGGACCCGGAGTCGGTCAGCTCGGTCTTCTCGGACACGCCCATCGTGGTGTGAGCGGGACGGGGTGTGGTGGGGGGGTTCCGCCCCAGGAGAGGTACGGCGCCCCTGGAGGATGGGAGGGGGCAGAGCAGAGAGAGGGCTGGCTGGCTGGCTGGCTGGCTGGCTGGCTGCCCAGGGGCGTGGGGCCCCCCTGATCTCGAGAGGATGGGTCACGGGTACAACAGGAGCAAGGGCCCGCCCCACCAGGGTGCGGTGGCCACAGTTTTCACTTACGGATCTATGGGCCCTCAGGCCAACGCCACACCCTCCCCGAGCACCCGCACCTGTCCAGGCAGCGAAGGAGGGGTGGGAGTGAGGAAGGGGTGGGGGGAAAGAGTGAATCCCTAAACCTGTTCGAGGTCATCCCTAGCTCCCTAAGAGAAACTCGTTTGGGGGGGATCTTCCTCTCTCTCTCTGCCCACCCACCCCTGCGAGGTGGAGGGAGCTTCTGAAGGAGCCACATGGGGACTCCGTAGTGTCACCTCCGGCCGGGAAGTCACCCTCCGCGGCCAGCTGGGGGGGAATCGGAAGTTTTGGGAGAATGAGTCGGGAAAAGGCGGGGACTAGCTCTCCCCCAGCGCTGAGACTTCCCCAACGCCTTCGTGTCTCCCAAGGAGCCCGGCTGGCCGCCCGGCAGCGAGGGCAGCGATGGGCGGTGTGGTGTCTGTGCCCTGTCCCGGGGCCAGGGGCACCGAGGGGTCCCCCCCAGAGCCCAGGGGCAGCACAAAACCGGCAGCAGCTGGGGCGAGGACTCCGGCACCTGCCTGTCAGGCCGGGCGGGGGCTGCTGAAGGCAGAGCGCTTCTGGCTGGATGCCCGCCCCCCAGGGGGGCCGGGGCCACGTCGCGCAGGGCCGGGAGGCCACAGCCTCTCAGCACCACTGGTCCCACCGGACTTCCTGTGACACCGTCTGCACGCAGGCTCCTCGGCTCAGGCGGGACTCTGGTTCCCCAGGGTCCTGGGTCGCCTGGTCCCGGCTGGGTGAGTGGGTGGGGGGACACGGGCGGACCAGGCGTGTATCTCCTGTGTCACCCAGGCTGCCTTGCTCCCCTCAGAGGGCCTCCCCGGCTGCAGGGCCCCGTGTGGGATTCCGTGGCGGACGGGCTGGGATTGGGTGGCCGTGGCCCCAGGAGGGCCGTTCGGAGTGTGGCTTAGGCTCTGTGTCTCCGCCAGGCTCCAGGCAGCCTCGTGGCGGACGGAGGCGGTGATGGGGACAGGCGGTGGCACAGGCTCCGGAAGGGGGCTCTGTCGCCCCCTGCGCGGTCAGGGGTCTGTGTGGGGCAGGGGGGAGGGGGGAGGCCAGCCGGGAAGGCAGGCCGGCATCCCATCCCATCCACGGCCACGCCCGCTCTGATCGGGGAGCCCGGGAGGGGGCCGCTCTGAGCTTGGTCAAGGGCGTGGCCGGGCAGAGGTGAGGATGTTGGCCTTTCGCCGTCCGTCCCCTCTCGCACCACGTTCCCTGCCAGACCTTCCGACTGGCGCCTGAGGTTCCACGGGGTGTGGTCGGCCTGCGGGCGAGGCTCTCGAGGAGGGAACGCCCCGCGGCCCGAGAAGATGGGGGGCGGATGGGCCCTGGGAGGTCAAGGCTGCCGGTCACACTTGCTTAGTGCCCAGCGTTGTCGAGAGGGACAGCGTCTCCCTCACGTCCTTGCATGCTCGTAGACACGCACACTCCCAGGCACGCATGCACGCGGCACCCTGCCCGCCACCGGCACCCTGCCCGCCACCGGCACCCTGCCCGCCACCGGCACCCTGCCTGCCATCGCACCGGGACCCTGCCCGCCACCGGCACCCTGCCCGCCATCGGGACCCTGCCCACCACCGGCACCCTGCCCGCCATCGCACCGGGACCCTGCCCGCCACCGGGACCCTGCCCGCCATCGCACCGGGACCCTGCCCGCCATCGCACCGGGACCCTGCCCGCCATCGCACCGGGACCCCATCGCACCGGGACCCTGCCCGCCATCGGCACCCTGCCCGCCATCGGCACCCTGCCCGCCACCGGCACCCTGCCCACCACGGACCCACACCGGCACCCTGCCCGCCACCGGCACCCTGCCCACCACCGGGACCCTGCCCACCACCGGGACCCTGCCCACCACCGGCACCCTGACCACCACCGCACCGGCACCCTGCCCGCCACCGGCACCCTGCCCGCCACCAGCACCCTGCCCGCCACCGGCACCCTGCCCGCCACCGGCACCGGCACCCTGCCCACCACCGGCACCCTGCCCGCTACCGGCACCCTGCCCACCACCGGCACCCTGCCCGCCACCGGGACCCTGCCCGCCACCGGCACCCTGCCCGCCACCGGGACCCTGCCCGCCACCGGCACCCTGCCCGCCACCGGCACCGGCACCCTGCCCACCACCGGCACCCTGCCCGCCACCGGCACCCTGCCCGCCACCGGGACCCTGCCCACCACCGGGACCGCGACCCTCCCGTCCCCGCCGAGCACTTCCGAGTGGCCTCCGCCTGCGGGCACCAGCCACACGCACCTCCCCTTCCCTGCAGCGACGGTGACCGCGCCGGGCCCCCCAGATCCCCTCTGTGCTGTACATCCTGAACTCGGAAGCGCCCCCCACACCTCATGGCGCCCAGTAACTCCTCCGCGAGGCCTGGAGTTCGGGAGCCCCGGGCCAAGGACCTGGGAGGAGGGGTGATGAGGAGGGAGCCGGGTCCCCAGACCCTCAGACCCTCCCCGGGGGTGGGCGGCGGCAGGTGGCATGGGGTGCTCAGCGAGGCCAAGGGCGACCCGCAGACGCCGGCTCTCAGCGGCCCGGGAGGCAGGCGGGCAGGAGGGCCGGTTGCCCCATGAGGTTCTGAGACCCTGGGGGGCATTTGGTGCTGGGGCTGGAGGAACCGGGTCTCCCGCTTGCTTCCCGGGGAGCCTGGGAAGTCTCACCTCCACCGGCAGCCACCCGCCCCTCCGCAGCCGCCGGGCGCTGACGGCCTCTGAGCGGAGCTCGGATGGAGCGGGCCTCCGGGGCCTTCTGGCGAGGCCCTGAGGGCGAGGAGGGCGTCTTCAGAGGCCCTGCCGAGGCGGGAGCGGGAAAGGCCCACGGCTGTGGTCTCCCTGCTCTGCCGCCCTGTGAGAGCCCCGCCAGGTGTGCCTGGCCTCCCCTCACTGCACCACCAGCCCCTCCGCCGTTTCAGCTGGGGGAGCCCCGGGGCGGGACCGAGCGCTCAGCAGACGAGCTCCCCGCACCCCGGGGAGGATGCTGCCAGGTCCGGCTGCAAGGCCCCCTCCACCGCCACCCCCCTCCCCACACACCAGGCGCGGCCCCAGGAAGCGGGGTCCCTGGAGGCAGCACGGCAGGGCTCTCCGGTCTGTCCGTCCGACCGTGTTTGGGGGGCTTCTCGGGAGGGGCCGGGGAGGCCGGGCGGAGGATTCGTTCTCTCTGTGTTCTCACCTCCGCTTCCTCGCAGCCGCGCTGGCGGAGCAGGCCGCACCCCGCGTCCAGCACCCCGTCTCCCCGCCCCCCCCCGCCCCCGCCGTGTACGCCCAGGCTGGCACACCTCGGAGCCTGTGGGCTCTGACAGCTAGACAACGACCATTAAACCTGGCTTGAGTCTCCCTCTGTGACTGGTTCGTCTCTCCGCTCGGCCTGCGGGTGGGGCCGCTGGGCTCGGAGGGTGCGGCCTGTGCAGGGAGAGGGTGTTTCGGGGCCGGGTCACGCCCGTAGCATCCGCATCCCGGCATCGAGGCAGGCAGGACCCCGTGAGGAGCCGGAGTGCAGGCTGGGCCGGCCGTGCAGTCCCAGTGACAGCTCCTCCCCCTGCCCGGGCTAGGGGCGTCATGTGGGCGGACAGAGGCGTGTGAAGCAGGTTCCAGGCTTCCTTCGTGGACGTGCACATGTGGAGTTCCCTCAACCATTCGTTTACTTTTTGATTCACTTATTTGTTAATCCTTCCCCAAGGATGTTTTTTCCAATGATTCTTAGAGAGAGCAGAGGGGCAGCGAGAGGGAGGAGCAGAGAGAGTGAGAGAGACACACGGATTGGTTCCCTCCCTCCCTCGTCCCCACGGGGGCCAGGGATGGAGCCTGCGGCCGAGGGAAGTGCCCCTGACCGGAATCGAACCCGAGACCCTTCAGTCCATGGGCTGACACTCTGATCGCTGAGCCGCCCAGCCTAGGGCTTCAACGATACAAACCTGTGAAGACGTTTATTGGCTCATGGGCTCTTCCAGGGGGCTGGTGTGGGCCGGCAGACCATCACCTAGGTCAGTGTTTCCCAAACTTCTCCTGATGAGAATCACCCGGTGGAGTTGTTAAGCTACAGATTCCTGAATCCCAACTAAGAAGCGCTAAGCTAGAATTTTTGGGAACATACAGGTAAACTTAACTTAGTGCTCTGTCTTAGTTAAGTATACAATTTTACCTGTATGTTCCCAAAACTCCACCGGGTGATTCTCATCACGAGAGAAGTTTGGGAAACACTGACCTAGATCGATTCTCAGAAGAAACGTCACAGGTGCCTTCGCCGGGGAGCGTGGCGAGTCCGCTGGGCAGGGGGCACCTGCGGGCAGAGAAGGCGGCTGGAGCCCCGGGGCGGAGGCTGTCCGTCCGCAGAGCTGGGTCCCGGTCTGGCACACGCCTTCGAAAGGCGGGCGCGGTGGGAAAGCCTGGGCTGGGCTGAGTGAGCCGCTGTGGATAGCTGTCACACCGCTTTACCACTGGTGCGTCTCCACGTTGTGAATGGCGACTGCCTGGTCTGGGTGAAGGTCTGCTCGGCTCCCGGGCAGTTACCGATCCTGGACGGTTCACAGGCCCTCCCTCCGCCCTGCACCGAGCAGGGACCTCCCTCCCCACGTCCTCGGCACAGACCGGGCCCACCGAGCTGGGACTGGCTCTGCTGAGCTCTGAGCTGTGCCTCCTGCGGCCATTCTCTCCGCACGTCTGGGAGGGGCCTGCCGTACCGGGTTCCAGAGGGGAGAGGAAATGGCGGAAGGAAAGAATGACATGAAAGAGAATCCGAGTTGGGAAAACAACCCCGTTTCTTCTGTGGATCAAAGCTTGACCAGAGGGCAGCCCTCCTCCGTGTCAGCGAGCAGCACGCCCAGCGAGGAGTGGAGACCCACAGCCACCCCCGGCAGGCAGCCAGGGAGGTGGCCGCTGTGGACGTCAGAGCCCCCCGCCCCCCCCATCTTCCTCCCCCGAGCAGCTCTGCTCTGGCCGAGTTTGGTCAGGAGGATGAGGCTGGTAGACAGCAGGTCTGGGCAGACTCCTGGGGGAGGGGGGCCCCTCTTTTTGGCTTGTGCACAGCCCTGTCTCTGAGCCTGAGGAGTCAGTATGTGTGTGTGTGTGTGTGTGTGTGTGTGTGTGTGTGTTAATATATTTTTATTGATTTCATAGAGGAATGGAGAGGGAGAGAGAAACATCAGTGATGAGAATCGTTGATTGGCTGCCCCCTGCACGCCCGACACTGGGAATTGAGCCCGGAACCTGTGCCCTGACCGGGAATCAAACCGTGACCTCCTGGTTCTTAGGTCGATGCTCAACCACTGAGCAACACTGGCTGGGCCTGAGAAGTTTTTGTGTTTTTTTAAAATAAATTTTATTGATTTCAGAGAGGAAGGGAGAGGAAGAGAGAGACAGAAACATCAGTGATGAGAAAGAACCATCCATCCGCTGCCTCCTGCACGCCCCCCCACTGGGGGACGAGCCCACAACCCGGGGACGCGCCCTTGGCTGGAATCGACCAGCACAGACCTGTTCTCGACCAGCACGTGGACCGCTCAGTCCCAGGCCTACACTCCAGCCGCTGAGCCACACCAGCCTGGGCCTGAGAGATGTGGAAGCTCCTTCCTCCATCATCCCACGAAAAGCCTGCGGCTGCATCTCCACCGCCTCCCAGCCACGAGCTCCTGGCGAGTGCCAGTCCATCTGCCACGCCTGCAGCCCTTCCTCCGGCTCCATCCAGGCGGCCCCTGGGGGAGTGGACGAGGCTAAGGCGACAGCCTCGCCTCCCTCGTCCGGGTTTCTCAGCTCCCTCCCTGTCTGCTGTGGTCGTTCTTGGGCGGCTTGTCTTGTCTCCTAGGAAACCGATGGCGATGGCGAGGCTTCGTGTCCCGCCCCCACTGCAGAAAGGCCTGGCCTGAGCGGGAGGCTGAGGGGCTCTCTGCCTGGCTGGTGCCCGCGGGGCTGAGAGAAGGAGGCAAAAGCAGCCACCACACAGCTCTCCCTCCTTCGGGCTTATCCAGGGCCGGGTGGACGACGCCGTGATAAAGACACTGAGACCTGCCGAGGCCTTCCAGCCAGTGACTGTCCCCGGCAGCGTGGGGGCCCGGCCTCGGCGAGCCAGGCCGTGGAGCCCTGCAGGGGCCCGGCGCCCCACAGCGCAGGCGCAGACGGTCAGACGGTGACCCCAGGGTCAGGGTGGCATGTTTGCAGGAGCCCGTCGGGGTACCACAGGCGTGCCGGTTGGGGGCATGGTATCTGAATGGAACTCTGAGCAGAAGGCCAGGGGTTAATGGCTGAGCCTGGCACAGAACACAGAGACGCCTCCCCACGTTCCTGGCACAGACCCAGCCCGCCAGGGGCAGGGCTGGATTCTCAGCTCCCGATTCCACTGGGGAAGAACCAGGCCAGGCCGCTTACAGGAGGTGATGTGTGTGCTGTAAGCTTAGCCGGGTGCTGGGTGCTAGAGGCGGTTCACTTCAAACCACCCCCAGGGCCCTGTCCCATGTCTGTCAGCTCCTCGTCTCCCCCGCACCCTCCGGCCATGCCCACAGGGCCCACCCCGTGCCCCATCCCCCGGGCAGAAAGCAGCTCAGATAAAAGCGCGCGGCTGTGGATCCTGCACTGCGGGCAGGCAGGCTGCTGGCCGGGCTCAGAGAAATGGAATGGCAAGTATCTTTCCCCTGATTTAAAATTTAAACACAGCTGCGTTCACGTTCCCGGGGTGAGGGTGTGTTTTAATTCCAGTGAAACGGCTCCGAGGAGGAGGGGGCTGTGGCTCCCGGGGTTTGAAACGAGGAGAGAGAAACCTGTGGACAGCCAGGGGCCGTGTCTGCAGCTCTGAGTCTCCAGCGCCTGGTCTGGGGGTCAGGACAGGGGCGGGGGGGGGGGGGGGGACACGATGAGCTGGGAGGATGAGGGCAGTGCTGTGTCTGTTATTGCTGCTCCTCCCTCCCACCGGGGCTTGTCTGCTCCGGTTCCCCCAGAAGAGCTGCAGTGACAGGAGACCCACCAGCCCCAGGAGCCCGGCCGGCCCAGGGGAACCGGCTCCCGGTTTCCCATCGGCGCCCGGACTCGGAACCGCCAGGCGGGCGGCGGGGCCGGCGCTGAGTCACAGCCCTGGTGGTGCTCCCCCCAGGAGGGTGAGCGCTGACCTTGCATCCGGGAGGAGACGTCCGTGCTTCTGTGTGCCCTCACGGTGGCCGGCGTGACAGCCCTTCGGAGGCCGGGTTCCGAGTGCCACGACCCGTGACCGCTGACTGCCTCCCTCCGCGGGCAGAGCCGGGCCCGGCAGGGAGAGGGGAGGACGGACGGAGAAGTCCCACCTGTTCACACGTGTTTAATGCTTTGAACCTTCAGCGTCTCTTAACACGCATGCCTCCTGCCCTGGCTGCGTGGCCGAGGGAGTGATTAGCACAGGCCAGGGGCGTGTTCGGAGGAAACCAGGGCGGCAGGCGTGTTCGTCCCCGGCCAGCCCACTGCTCACCTCGGACCCATGCACCCTGCCAACCAGCCGCGCCGTGGGAGCCTCCTGCTCCCCCACCTGCAGGGCCGCCGGGAAGGCTGAGGTCGGGGGTCAGGACCAGGGCGTCCTCCGAGGCTGGGGACACAGAGGGAAGGGGAGGACTAGCCGGTGAGGGTCAGCAGCCGCCAACACCCTACCTCCCAGGGGGCACGCACGCGGTCCCCGCGTCTGGACCCTGGTCAGGCGAGAGGCCATACCGGCTACTCAGAGGACCTGGGGGTCCTGACTCCGCTCCCTGCTCCTTGGGGACACTCTGAGGTGCCCCCCGCGGGCAGGAAGCCGGGAAGGGGGACACTGGCTGCCGCAGCCTCAGTGCTTGGAGGTCTGGAGCCGAGCGCCCCGCACGCTCAGCTAATGATCACTGTTAACTCGGAACAGATCCCGGCTCGGCTGCCAGCTGGCTCTCCAGCCGGGCGGCTGGGAAACAAGCCCGGCGGCAGCCCTGTGGGGGGCGGGGGTGGGGAAGAGGAGGAAGGAGGGACAGGCCAGGGGCAGGGCGTGGGGCGGGTGGTCTGCCCGAGAGGGGAGGGGAGCGCAGGCCCGGGCTGGCAGGAGGTGCCGGCCCTCCCATCGCGGATGCAGCTGCAGAGCCGGTTCACGGGCACCCCCACCTGCCCCGCCCCGCCCCGCCCCGGAGCGGCTCCGGGAGGGGGGCCCCGGGAAAGATGGGGGCGGGGGCACCTGAACCCAGAATGGCAATCCATGGAACACAAACACTCCGCTATTTCTAACGTCCTCGAGGCCGAGTTTGAACGTCGTCATCGTATTTGGAATCAGGACTCAGTGAGCTGATCGGCAAATCTGTGCAGATGACATGCTTCTTCGCTTCTTTTAAGTTGAGCACCCTGACTTTTTTTTTAAAGGGTGGCCAGGCTGACTACCAGCTTTCCTTAGTCAGGGGCCGAGGACAAAGGACCCGAGGCCGTGCCTCTTCCCCAGGTGCCCGGCTCGGTGGGGGCAGAGCCGTGGGGAGGAGGCACACGGGGCCGGCAGCCGCCGAGCTCCCAGCGGGAGGCTGGGCGCCTGGCACCGAGGGCTGAGGGCTGCCCCGCTGCTGCCCAGGATGTGAGGGCAGGTGGTGGAGGAGTGAGAAAGGCGGTGGGGAGGGGAGAGGACAGGAGGGGCGGGGTGGGGGAGGGAGGGAGGCCCCGCACAAGCTGGCCAGCAGGGAACAAAGGCTCCTCCTGGCGACCTGCTCCCGGCACTGCAGTCCCACCCGCCCCACAGGCCACCTGCGCCTCCTCGCCCCGGCCCTGCCCTCCTGGCCTCGGGCGGAGAGGCGACAGCTGCGGGCCCTTCTCCGCACAGAATGTAAGCGACGCCCCCTTCCTCCGGGGCTGGGAATAGACATCAGCTGGCGCGGCCCCCGCAACTGCCGCTGGCAGCCGCCTGCCCCCCGCCCGGAGCCCCCTGGGAGGAGGGACACCTCAGCAGGCGCCGCTCTCCTGGCGGGGGGGGGGGGGGGGGCTCTCAGACGAAGCGGGAACGCAGGGCCCTCCCCCCGCTGCAGACGGGGACTGACTCCGCGCTGGCTGTGTGGGAGGAGAGGCCGTGGGGAGCCTGATCGAGGTGACCCCGCCTGCTCAGGTCCGCAGGGCTCCCGGGAGGGGCCCAGCGACCAGGAGGCGCCCGGGGAGCCCCCATGTGGTCCCATCCTGTTCTGCGGAGTCACCCCACGTCCCTGCTTCTGAGCCGCCCAGAGAGGCGGGACCCCCAATGCTGCCGCCTAGGAACACCTCCCTGGTCCCGGGACCTGGGGCCCCAGCTCCCGTCCCCCAGGCCTCCCGGGGCCCCACAAGCAGTTACCACCGGCTCGACACCAGCTCTCCTGGGCCAGCCCCCTGCGCTCCAAGCCATGACCTAGCAGTGTTTCCCAGAGTGCGGTACGCGCACCCCCAGGGGTACGGGAAGAGTTCGGTGGGGGTACGCGTTGCACCGGAGTTTGGTGGGGATATGCCCTGCACCGTGCTTAGCTGCGCCTAATTCTACGTTCTCATGAGGACGAGGGGTACTCAGCGTTACGAAAATCATAGAAGGGGTACACATAGGTCAGAAGTTTGGGAAACACTGATCTAGGGGGATACCCTCTCCCTAACGGGGCGGGAGGGCGGTTCGCTGGCCTGGCGCCTGCACCGGACGGCAGCCTGCAGAGCTGCTTCCCACTCGGAACAAGGGGGGTCGCTGCAGGGACGAGGGGGCCTGCCCTCCCGCGCCAGCTGGCACCAGACTCAGCCCTGATCCCCCGCTGGACAGAGAGGAAGACGTGGGCGATGAGGAGGGGCCTATCCGAGGTCACAGGAGCCCCGCCCCGCACCCCGGCTCCCGCCTTACTGGGGTCCTCAAACTTTTTAAAGTGGGGGCCAGATCACGGTCCCTCAGAGAGCTGGAGGGCCGGACTATATGAACTACTAATTCCTACTGTAACACCTCGGCTGCGCTCACTGCCCAAAAAGCCTGGCGGGCCGGATCAGACTCCTCTGCGGGCCGCATGTGGCCCGCGGGCCGTAGTGTGAAGACGCCTGTAAGAGCTTCGGGACAGCTGCCCAGCGCTAGGTGCTAAGGCGCGAAGCTGAGCCCGAGGAGGGCAAAACGCGGGGTGCCCAGGGCGACGTGGCCACCAAGACTGGGCATCCGGGGAGGAGCACAGCCCTCTCCTCAGCCCTCGAGCCCGAGGGGACCCCGCGGCCCAGCAGGAGCCCGAGGCGGGGGCACAGCAGCGCCTGTCCACGCTCCCACGGCTTTGTGCGGTTTGTTTTTATTTTTGGTCATCTTCGCCCGAGGACAGCTTCCCATTGGTTTTTAGAGAGAGAGGAAGGGAGGGGGAGAGACACACGGAGAGAAACGTCGATGTGCGAGAGACACATTGGCTGGCTGCTTCCCGCACGTGCCCCACCCAGGGCTGGGGGATCAAGCCTGCAACTGAGGTATGTGACCCTGATTGGAATCGAACCCCTGACCCTTCAGTCCACTGGCAGGTGCTCTATCCATTGAGCCACACGGGCAGGGCTCTCCCCGTGGCTTTAAAGTGACGTTAGTGTCTTTGCTGTGTCGGAGTTCCAGAGATCCCCACCCGGGACCCTTCCCTCCACAGCACCGGACCCCTTGTGGCCTGGTCTGGGGCCCAATCGGCAGAGATTCCCGCCAGGCCCCGGGGGCAGGTCTGTCCCTCCGGGGTGGAAAGGGGATCACAGAGGTAAGAATGGCATCCTGAGTCTCCTAAGGGGTCCAGCGCAGGAGGGGGTGCTGTGCGGTCAGCCTCACCGACAAGGGGTGTCAGAGGCCACTCGGAAACACTCCTCACACAGACACGGACGCCGAGCTCCTGAGACATGAGACTTGCATAAGGTCACCCAGCAGAGCCTACGAGGACCTCAGCCCACAGACAAGCCCGTGGGCTCTGTCCGCCCCACCAGGAGCTTCCTCAGGAGCGACTCCAGGGGCCACAGCTGCCTTCCTACCGGCAGGAACCCAACCCTCCAGCAGACACGCCCCCGCCATCGATCACCACCATCACCACCATCAACACCAGCACCCAGCCCTCCTGGCTCCCGTCCGGCATGGAGGCTCAGGACCCAGCGCCCCATCACCTGTTACTTGCACCCAGGACGTCTCCCCATTTCGATCCGCCGAGTCCCCCGTCAGCCCAGCCAGAGGTTATAAAAACCCTACCCTTCAGGGCCACCAGACAGACCCCTGAAGCCCAAGGCCAGGGTGCCGGCCGGAGTCACAGTATCTCCGTCTTCTTCCTGGGCAGGTAGGAGCTGGAGATCTGGTGCATGATCACCAGGGCGGGGTAGAGGGGCAGCGCCAGGCACAGGTACCAGGCCGCGCCTTTGATCTGGGCCTGGAACCACACCGAGTACATGCCCAGGAGCACCGTCACCGTGGCCATCAGGTAGACCACCAGCCCGCCCGTCAGGTGGTAGAGCTTGAGGCGGGCGACCCTGGAGACCCGGGCGGCCCGGGGGCAGAGCAGGCAGAGCCCGCACAGCGCCTGGCCGCCCGTGGCCAGCAGCGTCAGGGCCCCCGCCCAGCTGTGCCAGGACGCCAGGTGGGGCAGCTCGCTGCGGGTCCGGCTGGCCGCGATGAAGCCCAGGCCCAGGGCCGCGCAGAGGAGGGCCAGGGCCTGCCCCGCCCAGTGCAGTCCGATCCGGGCCTTCCGGGAGCAGCAGGAGAACAGGGAGTGGTCAGGCGAGAAGAGGAGGATGGCCTCGGCCATGCAGACGCAGAACTGCGAACGAGAGAGGGCCGGTGAGCCCCGAGGCCGGCGGGGGCGTCTGAGGAGGGGCCGGTGCTCCCTCCTCTGTCCAGGCCGGGACATGGGTGGGGGCTGAAGAACTCCCACCGGGACCTGCCCCACGGGCCCACACGGCTGGGCACCGTCCGGAGTCCACACTTGAGCGAAAGTCACTTGTCATTGGGGCTGATGTGCAAGTCCCCGCTCCCCCCGCCTGCCCTCAGGCAGTGACTCCGGTTTCTGGGCCAATGGAAACAACCAATGTCAAAAAACTTCCTCCTGAATGTGGGGGAGGAGTGACTGGATATTCCCCCTCCCACGTCCTCCTCCCAGGCCACGCGGTGGAGAAATACCTCCCATGCCTGCCCGCCCCCACGGACTACCTGGCCCGGCCCAGCCCTCTCACTCCCAAAGGCTGCAGGGAAGGCTGGAGGCGGCCTGCTTCCCCGCCCGGGAGCCTGAGCAAGGCTGGGCCCTCTGTGGGCTGGACGTTCCCCTGGGGACAGAGCCAAAACAATCAGCTGCGTAAGGAAGCCCAAACTCACCGCCAAGGCCATGAAAACAGGGTGCCAGGAGAAAAGACCTAGGATCCAAAGAGAACAGACTGACGCGGGCACCATTGTTTCTGCCCCTGAGGCTGGCCGGAGCCCAGGGCACCTGCCTACGGGGACAGGTCAGGGTGCTATCCCGCTCTGACTGGGAATCAGGGCACAATGGAGCAGCCAAGGTGAGAGTGAGCCACCACGAGGCTGAACCCACACCGGTTCCCCTGGCTTCCCACTGGGCACCTCGCAGCTGTCCGCCCAGTGCCCCCCAGACTGGACCCTCCACGAAGGCTCTGCTTATGAGGAACCAGGGAGCTCGCTGCCACCGTTTGCATCTCCTCCCCAGCACCCAGGGCTCTGCCCCACCGGCCACGACTAACCCTCCCCAGTCCATCCCTCCATAGTGGTCCCCACTCCGAGGCTCCCTCCCAGCATCTCGGCCCCGCCCCCTACAGCCCCCGCCCCGCACTCACTGGTTCCCGGCCCCGCCCATCTCCCGGCCCCGCCCCGCCCGCACTCACTGGTTCCCGGCCCCGCCCATCTCCCGGCCCCGCCCCGCCCGCACTCACTGGTTCCCGGCCCCGCCCATCTCCCAGCCCCGCCCCGCCCCGCCCGCACTCACTGGTTCCCGGCCGGGACAGCACCGTCAGGAAGATGGTGAAGACCAAAGCCAGCAGGTGCGCCAAGACCCCGCTGCCTCTCCGCAGCCAGCGGTTCAGTCTCGGCTCCCTCGCTGGAGCGGGAACCAAACCCAACTCCAGGCTCTGCATGGCCGGGCCGGACCGGCGCGCAACTCCCGGCCTCCCGAGCGCGTCTTCCGGGTTTGCGAGCTCCCGGCGCCGCGGCCGCGGGAGGCTCCGCCCCGGACGCCCGGCGGGCGGCGCGGCGGGCGCGCCCACAGCGCCCTCTGGGGGCCGGGGGGAAAGCGAGCCGCACAGAGGAGCCCGAGGGCGCAGGGCACTGGACAGCTCCCGGCGCGCCGCGCGGGGTGTCTAAGCCAGCCTCACAGGACCTTTGTCTCCAAGGGCTGGTGTCTCCGGTGGCGGCGGGGACTTCACCCAAACCCCAAGTTGGCTACACTGAACCACGAACCTGGAGCCAGTCAACACTGGAACTCCCTGGCTGCCCACCTTCTCCATCCATCCTTCCTCTGTCACATTAAGCCTTAACGGTTAAGGGAATAAGATCCCTGCCTGCCTGACGGCAGCGAAGGAGAGGAAAAGGAAAGGACGAGGGGAACACGGTGCCCTGCACCCAAGTGAGCTCAGGCGTGAGGGCTGACAGCCGATGATCCTCGATCTGCACAATCGCTGTCCCCAGCGAGGCGAGCGGAACTAGGGCACCCGCAGCGCCAGCCGCCTCCACACCATCTGCTCGGCCCCGGGGAGCCAGGCGATCCTAAGGGACCGGGCCTCCCACACCGCGGGAGTCCTGTGATCACACCACTCCCCTGCCTGCCTCCCAGAAAGGTGCGGTTCGGCTGGAGGAGGCGTCCCTGGGAGAGCTATCCCCTTTCCTTAAGGGCAAACCCGATGGCCGGGGAGAGGCCCAGACAGACAGGGACGTTCTCAGAAGTGACCAACTCGATTTGAGCTCCCGCAGTGAAGAGGGGCTGCTGGTCAGAGGCGGGCACGGCTGAAGGAAGGAAGCGGTAATTCGGAGGCGCGATGGAGGCCCAGGCTTGCAGAGAGACCACAAAAGGGCCGCAGGCCGACCCCACAGACCCTCACTCAGGGCAGTGACCGGAGAGCAGAACCAGAGGTGTGGCTCCCCTCCCCACGAGCTCCCTGCCCACCAGGACTGGTGGCAGCTCTGGGATCAGGGTTCAGGGTTCTGCTGGCTCAGAGCCATGCCTCATCCCCCAGCCTGGAAAGCAGACTCCCCAGGGACGCACACCCCGGCCATTTCCACGTTGTTCCAGGGGACGGAGAGAGGGAAGCTGTCTCTCTGTCATGTCAGCTTCCTGGGGGAGAGCTGGGGACAGGAAGGACACTCGTTTTGTTATACATTTTCCCCTCCCTTTTCTAGGTTTCTGTTTTTATATTTTTCTTAGCAACAGAACAGGGAGACAGTCTTGAGGTATTTTAAAGAGGTTTTTTTTTTTTTTTCTTTTCTTAAAAAAAATAATATAAAGTTATAAAAAGCGGCAGCAGCCGGGGGCCCGGATCTGGAGGGGAGGAGGTGCTGGCGGCTCCGTCGGTGGCAGGCACTTTCTCGTTAATGGGCTTTTGACTGCAGGGAGACAAGAGGCGAGAGACAGGGTCAGGCCACCTGCATGGAGCACAGAGCTGAGGTTTCGCTTCCTCCCTCCGGCCTGGTGGGCAGAGCTGGGTCCGGAGGAGGCGGAGAGCCAGCCCGCAGGGCCGGCCTGCAGAGCAGCCACACACACTCAGGTCCCGGGCAGGTCACACACACACACACACGGGTACCAGAGGTGTTGGTATGCATCTGGCCTGTGCCTAAACCACGAGGCCACCCTCTTCCCATTCCAGTAACTCCTGCTGGCTGAGGACTTATGGGCAGTTCCATGCCAACGCCAGGGCTCCATCCTCAGAGGGGGGGGGAATAAGAGACCTGGCTGCTGGCTTCCCCAGAAACCCCGGAACACTTGCCTGGCACCCGAAAACCTGGAAGTGGGTATGTGTGCAAGTAGGCACCCGTGCTCTCTGCCCCTCCATGCTCATGCCCAGAGGCTAAAGCCGTGAGCGAGATGGGCCCAGCACCCGCTGTGCAGCGTGGAGGCCACAGTTCCGGGCCCAAGCTCAACCTCGCGCCCAGACCTCTCTCAGAGCTCCTGGAGACAAACGTCCTTTCCTTCGGGGGCAGAGGGAGCTCAGAGAGGGGCCCTCTGAGGACAGCCCAAGGGGGTGCGGGAGGGGGAGGCAGAGGCAGCAGCTCCTCGGCCTCGGGGACTGGGCTGAGACAGGGAGAGGCTCCTGAAGGGAACGCCGGGGTCGCCCAGCAGTGAGCTGACCCCCCTCTCGCTGGCGATGGCCTCCTGTGCTCCCTCCCTGCACGCTCACTCGCTCAGCACCGTCCGGGTCCGGCTCCCGCTGCGCCCTCCGCCCTCCCCCGCGCTGCCCGCGCCCTGCCCTGCGGGGACGGGGCGGGTACCTTCAGTGCAGAAACCTCCTCGAAGGCCAGGGCCTTCTTGCGGCGCACGGGGCAGGCCGCGTCGGCGGGGGCGCCCGCCGGGCAGTGCCTGGCCTTCACCGGCCGGCAGTACGTGGCCAGGTTTTTCCGCTTCTTGGCCGCCTCCTCCTCGGAGAGGCAGCCGCCCGGCAGGGCCGTGGCTGGGTGTCCGGCCGGGCCCTGGCTGTCCGGCGTGGGGGGCTGGTGAGGGGGGCCCCGGCAGTCCGGGGGCCCCGCCCGCTTCACCCTCGGCACCACCGTCCCGTTGAGCCCCGCGCCCAGCGCGGTCTTGGTCTTGGCCGAGAGGCCCCGGCAGCCGGCGGGCTTGCCCTTGCCCGCGGGCTCCAGGACGCAGGTCCGTTTGAAAGTCGTGGGGCCGGGGGACAGCTTCCGCTTCCGGGAGGGCGCCTCCGCCTCGGCCCCGTCCTTGCCTTTGGACGACTTGCTGGCCTTGGTCGGCGGGAGCTTGCTGAAGGACGGCGAGGGCGTGTTGGCAGGCAGCGGCGAGGTGATGGCCTGGCTGCCGCCCGTGCACTCCGCCTGGCTGCAGGCGGCTGCCACGCTGGGGGAGCCGGCAGGGTAGCTGGGGACCAGGCTGTCCTTGGTGAGGGGCGTGGACGCCGGGCAAGCAGGTCTGGGGGGCGGGCCTGGAAGGTGGGGGCAGCTGCCCATAGAGGCGGGGCTCGGGGGAGCCGGGAGGGGGGCGCTGGCCAGGTGGGATGGAGGCTCGGCTGCTGGCGGGATCTTCCTGCAGCAGAAAGAGAACGGGCACCATGGTCATGTCCAGCAAACCAGAGGGCCTCTCCCCCAGCACACACCAGCCTCTGCCCCTCCCGTCCTGCGAGAAATGGCCCAGAGCCCCGGCAGTGCTGCCATCTGCTGGCAGACGCTGGAACTGAGGGTTAGGGAGAAGGCACAGGGATAGACAGCAGGAATGAGCAGGGATAGAGAGACCCATTAAGAACATCCTTTTCCATGTTTGAGCGTCCCCTAATCCAAGTTTCCCAAAAGGTGCTAGAAGTATGGCTGAGAGTGAGTCACTCCCAGACCACCATTCACGCCCTGCGTCAGTCCGGCTCCTGGCTGCCACGTGCCCCCACCCCTTCCCTGCAGCCGGGTCTTCCTGGCCAGCGGCCGAGCCACATCTTATGTGAAGAGCCGGGGCTTCAGAGGCGCACGCAGGCCGGGGCCTGGGAGGAGGTTCCGAGCCGGGACACTCACTTCCACATGTGTGAGCTGAGGTGCTGCTCCAGCATGGAGCTCAGCGCCGAGCAGAAGCGGTCCAGCCTGCGGCTGAACACGTAGCAGCCCGGACTCACCAGCCGGCTCCCGAAGGTGCAGAACTGGAGACGGAGGGAAGGCACGGATCAGTGGGCCTGAGCTGCAGGGGGCGGGCACCTACCTGCACACACCATCTGACCCCCCTGCACACGTGAGCAGGGAGGGCTGGGCCACCCCCACCCGGCCCCACCCCGGGTCCTTACCGCCTGTGGCCTGGGGGGCCGGGTTGCATAATGGCAGTCAGGGGGGAGGTGGAGGTCATCGGATGGCCCCTCCTCCTCACTCTCCTCGCTGGAGGCCTGGGCCCCACCCCGGGGCAGGGGGAAGGGGAACAGGCCTGGGTCCCCATCACCACCACAGGGGCCTTCATCGTCCACCTCACTCTCAGAGGAGGCCCGGGACCTGGAAGGGCCAAAGGGGATGTGAGGGCGACGGGACGGCCGGCCGTGGGTCAGGGTGGGGGCATCCCTGAGCCCGCCCAGCTCCACAAGCCAGGGCGGACGCCCTGCGGAGCCGCCAGACAAAGAGGAAGGGAGGAGAGGAAGGGAGGGAACGACAGAGCTCACAGGGCGAGGCAGAGATCAGGGGCTGCGGCTCCGGCTCCCGGGGGATTCTCTCCCCAGCCCTTCACTTCCCAGGCCCTGCCTCCTTGGGGGAAATCTGCTCCAGATTCGCCTCCTCCAGAAAATCTTCTGAGCTTAACTGCACCCAGCTCGGGTCCGCCCCGTCCATTCTCTCAACCCCCTTCTCGCATCACACATTCCTGTGAGCCTGTCTGGGAGCTGAGCCTGCGTCTCGTGTCTGCCCGCGTTACAGGCAGAGAGGCGTGTGTGTCTCCTTCCGCAAGGCGGGCTCTCCCCAGGGTCCGGCGCAGCCTCTGCACACGAAGGGGCCAGCGAATGAATACACAGTAGGACCGCCTCGCCCAGGGCCCTGACCCTTTCAGCTCCCGGACCCTGCCGGCTCCCCCGTTCCGAGTGCTGGCCCGTCGGAAGCAGCTGGGACACCGTTTTCATCCTGGCTGTTGGAACTGGCACGCCGGAGGCAGGGGCACCGGGGGGAGGCTTGTTAGAAACGGGGAGTCTCCTACTTCCGCACCCACTGGGGCTCCCTCCCCCCCTCTCGGGGCGTGATGAGGTGCACCTGTCTCCAGGGGTCCCTGGTGGCTCGGGGCCGCGTGTCCCCGGGGGAGGTGCGGCGGGCTCCCGGACGTACCTGGGCAGCGCACAGTAGGGATAGGTCTGCTTGGCGCGCGCAGGGAAGGTGCTGCTGGGAGCAGCCGCTGCTGCCGCCACCGGGGCTGAGGGCGGGGGCTCCTGGGAGGGGCGCTCGGGAGCCGGCTCCTTGCGCCCCGGGCTCTTCTCCTTCGGGGACTCCCCTTTGCGGGAGCTGGCCTTCAGCTCTGCCACCAGCACGTCGAAGTCCTTGGCCCGGCCCTGGACCTCCCGGCGCTGGTGCACCGAGTGGATCTAGAACACAGCAGGATGGAGGGGTGGGGAGGGGGTGTGAGCTGAGCAGGGGTGAGGGGCAGCGGTGTGCTCTGGCCTGGGCAAGCGGAGAGAGAGGGGATGTGAGTGTGCTTGCGGGGGTGTCTGCGTGTCTTCGTTTCACTCCCCCGCGGGGCCAGAACCCTCCTCGGAATCGGGGGGACCTGGAAGCCACCCCCTGCCCGCTGCCCCCACGCCAGGCCCACTGCGGGCAGCCGCCCCTCCCCCTGTCTGGCCTGGGCTTCACCCCCATCCCTGGAGCTGGGTCTTGGGGAACAGCTCCATTCCTCTCCCTGCCCAGGGCCCAGGGCTGTGCCGCCCGCCCTCCCTGGGTGGCGGGAGGGTTACCTTGCAGGTGAGCAGGCGGGTGCAGATCTTTTTGGTCTCCGGGTTTAGGACCCCACACTGCCTGTTGAGGTCGCACTCCTTCCCTGTGGGGAGAGTGGTTTCCGGGAGTCTCAGGGGCACGTCCAGGAGGCCCTCAGGAGGCCGGAGGCCAGCTGGGCCTCGGCCGAAGAGCCCCCCGGCCCCCATCTCCACCCCTCAGTGCAGGACGGCAACGCCTTGAGAAACACCTCCGGCACCAGCTGCTCTCCGCTGGCCCCGTTCGCAGCCCAGGCCCGCCCTCCTTTTTGGGGACTCCAAGCCCAAACAGGGCAGCACATATCCACACACAGAAGCCGCCACAGACATCCGGGGGCCAGGGGCCGGCTGTGGAGGTGCCCGGTGCCTGGCCTGGGTGGGGACAGGCGGGCAGAGCCCAGGTGAGGAAGTCAGTTCCCCAGCGGGCACGGCCTCCTGCAGCCTCGGTCGGGAGACCCGGCTGGAGGGGAGCTTCCCGCAGAGCAGGCAGGTCACACGTGCCCATGTCAGGAGGTGGCGAGGGGTTCGGGCCGCCTGTGATGGCGGGCCCCCTCCTTTCTGCCCCTCCTCCATCAGGACCCCCCAAACCACGGCTACTCACGAGCCACTTTCCGGTGGGTCTTGGGGGGCAGCCTGGCCCCAGCAGGCTCCTTTTCGGGGGGGCTGCCTTCCGCCCGGTGACCGGGGCCCTCGCCGGGGGTCATCCTGCTGCTCTCTCTGCCCGGAGGCTCCTTCGGAGGGGGCGCCACGGGGGGCTTCCCGGGGGCGTCCTTGGGGAGGCCGCTGGGCGGGCTGAGGAAGGCGGGGGGCGGGGCCACCCTGACTCCGGGGCCGTCGGGCTTGGGGAGGCCAGACATCTTCTCCAGATTCACCACCGGCACGAACAGGCTGCGGGGAGGGGGTGGACGGGGCCGGGCTGGGCCTGGGTGCACGGCATGGGAGGGGGGACCCCTAGCCCCTGGAGCACCCGGGAGGGGCTGCCGATGGAGCTGGCTGCCTCCTGCTGCAAGCGGTGCCCGGCGAGTGCCCCCCTCCCCCGTCCGTGTCCCCCCCCCACCCCTGCCCCCTCTGGCAGCCCCTCCCTCCCCGGACCCGGCCAGGGTCTCTGGGCGCCTCCAGCCTCTCCTTACCAGAGATTGTCCTTCTGGCTCTTCTCAGGAGGTGGGTGGCCACGGCTCCGGGACCCCTGGCCCTTCTCCCTGGAGGAGGTTTTGGTGGAACCTGGGGCCCTACAAGCTGGGCCCTGCCCATTCACTACATGGCATTTCTGAGAGCTGGCGGGGGCTGGAGGTGGGGGTGGGGCCCGGGCGTAAAGCTTGCTGAGGGGCCCATGTCTTCTTTCTGTCACCAGGAGGCGGAGAGAGCAACGGAGGTGAGTAGCCGGCTGCCTCCTTCCCGCCCTGCTCACCCTGCTCACAGACTCGGCTCAGAGAACCCGGAGTTTAGATCCCAAACGGGCCTCCTTCCCCTCGGAACCTGAGCCTTCGGGACTCAAAATTCTAGGGCCCGGCTCTTCCCTGAACTCCACTGGGAAGAACTGTTGGGAGTTTGCTCAAACGCTAACCCCGACCTGCCTCCCTCCATCTATGCAGCCACCCCCAGGTCCTCCCTGCCCCCAAGGCCGCCCACCCTTACACAGGCCTCCCAGCTGACCCTGTCCTGGGGGGTCCCTCCTGCCCCCACCCCCACCCCCACCCCCACCCCCACCCCGGCCCGCTGCTCCGCCCCCACTCCCCACCCCCACCCCTCACCCCCACCCCACCCCCACCCCGGCCCGCAGCTCGGCCCCCACTCCCCACCTCCACCCGCACCCCTCACCCCCACCCCCACCGCCACCCCCACCCCCACCCCCACCCCCACCCCGGCCCGCTGCTCCGCCCGCCCGGGCTCCTCACCGCAGTGCTTCTGGAAGGCCTGGGGCTTCACCACTTGGCTGCAGTGGTTACACACAACCAGGTAGAAGTCGTCGTAGGCGGGGCAGTGCCCGAAGATGGACATGTCTGCAATGACAGGAGCCCTGGTCACCCGGGCTGGGGACCCCCGGGCTCCCCTGTGAGGTCGGGGAGCACTTCCCCTCCCTTCCTGCTGGAGGCTCCCTAAGAACGTGGGCTTTCGGGGGAGTGGGTCTCCTACAGGCCGATGGGCCGACTCAGACCTGTCAAAGAGAGGATCCCAGACCTGCCTGCCCCCCGCCTCCCGCCACCAAACAGCCACCTCCCGGAGGTGGGGGAAGAGGGGCACGTGGTCCTGACTCCCACCTTCTTTAATGAGGGTCATGGCATCCAGCTTCTTGGTGCTTTTGTTGGTCTCCTCCAGCTCAGCCCCTGGAGGAGAAACGCAGCTCAGAAGGACCATCTCCTCCCCAGAAGCCCATCTACCTCCTACCCGCCCAGGGCCTGCAGACATGGGCCCCTCAGCAAGCTTTAAGCCCACACTCCCTGATCCTGATGCTCAGCACCACCTGGGGAACCTTTGGTGGCTCATTCTTCCCCCATCTGCTACTTCCAGAAGGAACTGGTGCCCTTGGGAGGGAACCTGCCACCTTTCCTAGAGACCCCGAGGTGAGGGTCAGGGTCCACGGCCAAGTACTTGAGTGACTGTGAGTCACTATCTCCCCCGCGTAAGTGGGAAACATTTAAGGGGGGAAGGTATTTTACTGTAGGTCCTGGAGTCCCTTCTTGAATTTGGGTCCTCTCTGCTACGCCCTGGCATCCCAAACAGAAACTCTCCCAGGTCCCCATCCCCATGAACTCCATCTTGCTCCACCTGGGTTGCCATGGCATTGTCAGAGTTACACCCCGCTTCCCGGTCCCGCACTGGGAGGCTGGCCACAGGGCAGAGCAGCTGCTGTCTCGGGGCCCTCTGGCACCTCCCAAGTCCCCTTGGTCAGGGGTGCGAGCCCCGTCCCTCTATAGGGGGGTCTTGGGCAAGGGCTGCCCTGGTACTTCTCACTTTCTGGGCGGATTCCGGGCGGATGACAAAAACATCTTAGCTCTGCAAAGCAGCTCCGGCCCCATCCCCCTACCTGACTCCTCTCCCCTCCCTCCATGACGCCCCCTCCCTGTCCCTTGGGAGGGGAAAAAAAAATCAATTCTGAGTCACCAAACCCGGCTGATTCCATTTCCGGTTCTCAATGCACCCAGACCCTGACAATGGCCCCATCCTCGCCCACCCCGCATGGGGCAGTCCCGGTGGCCAGGGCTCCCCGGAGGTCTGTGTCTGACGCCTGCTAACAGACTTGCCCCTTGCGAGGCGGAGAAGACGGGTGACAGTCTTATGTCACCTCCAGATGTGAGGGGTGGCGGGTGAGGAGACAGGGGCCGCTCCCACGCTCAAGTGGGTGAGAATGCAGTGACGGACAGAACTGAGCAGGGAGGGAGTCCAGGCTCGGAGGAGGACAAGTGTCATCAGAGACCGCATGGAGCGGTCCTCCTCCGCTGCCTCTTCTCACTTGCAAACTTCTTCAGGGGCGTGATGCCCGCGGTCACCTAAAAAGGCCGCGAGGCCAGGTGCTCCCTGGGGCCCAGGACACAAAGATCAGGAGAGGGGGGCAGCCAGCCCCATCGCCAAAGGCACCAGGGTCCTGGAGAAGGTGGGGTTTAGGGAAGAGGCCCAGAAAGGACGGAGGGTTGGAGGCATGGGTGGATGGACAGGAGGAGGAAGGCAAGGAGGATGGATGGATGGATGGATGGACCCGTGAACGAATGCGGAGAAGGCAGGGGTCCAGTAGCATCCAAGCGGCAGGCAAAAGCCGAGAAGGAGCTGGAGGCGTGGGGCAGAAGGCGAAAGAACAAGGGGGAAGGGGAGGAGGGCACAGAAATGGGGTGCGTGGGAAACACGTGGAGGGGACTGTTGCGGATGGGGAAAGCCCGAGGCAGGTGCAGGAGGGGCGGAAAGTGGGGGCAGCAAGCAAGGAGAAAAGGAAAAGCAAGCACACGAGGGGACAGGCATCGGGCACCGGCAGAGGCAGAGGTGGGCAGGGTGGGCTGCGGGCGGAGGCCCGGCGCTAGGACCCGGGGGCGCGGAGGAGGAGGAGCAGGCGGGCACTAGGACCCGGTGGGTCCTTTGTTTGGGGGGCCGGGGAGCCGGACGGCGGCTCCCGTCGGCAGCTCCCCTCAGCTGGCGGGGACCCGGAGGGGGGAGGGGAGACAGGGATGGGGTCCCCGGACTCTAGGGGAGCTTCGCTCACCGTCGGCCGCGGGCAGGTCGGCCCGTTCCACCCACGAGCTCCAGCTCTGTCCCGCGAAGTCATCGAGACTCGGCACCCGCCGCTCCAGAGCGGCCATTGCTGCCGCCGCGCGTTCACGCACCGCCATCACCGCCGCGGACGCGCGCCCGCCCGGCGCCGCCGCCGCGCGGCCCCCTCCCCCGCCCCGCCGCGGGCACGCCTCCCCCCTCTCCGGTCCCAGCTCCCTCTCCGCACAGGCGCCGCGCGGGCCGCCCGCCCCGCGCCCTCGCTGCCTCAGAGCCTTCTGGGAAATGTAGTCCTGCGGGAGGTGCCGCTGCCCACCGAATTTGCAGCGAGAGCTCCTCGGAAATGCACAATGATGGGGGGGAAAAGAGACGAAAGCCCTAGGACCTCCTCCCCAGACCCCTGTGCACACATTCTTCCTGCTGCCGCCCCACTCTCTCAAGTTCACCGCACACGCGCCCCAGCTCCCCACCCCACCCCCGACCCTCGAGCCGCGCCCCCGCCCCCCGCGGGCTGGCGCCTCTGCTCCGGCAGGCGGCTGCGGAGCAACTCCGCTCCCCTGTAGATCGAGCTGGGTAGGTGCAGGGAGGTGGGCGCTGCGAATCAGAAGGGCAAGGGGAGGGGGGAGCCTGCAGGATGCGCTGAAGGACACAGGGGTTGGCGTGGGGGAGGGTCCTTCTCTGTGGGAACCCCACGCGGCCCCGGCGCGGAGCAGAGGGTTGGAGTGGCGAGGTCCGGGCTGGAGCGGACCTGGCGGAGCTGACCGTGATCACCTGTCAGGATGACAGAAGGCTGTCTCGGAGCCAGAGCTAGCCCCGGAACTGGGTTTGCAGCTTCTCTGCTGATCGTCTCTCTCTCCTCCTGAGCGATCGATACCCTGGACTGCCTCTTCCCAAACCCCGGCTGGACCCTCACTCCATCCATCACTTTGGCTTCTTTCCCTGAAGAATATTTTTCTCTGCGGGAAGGGCTTCTACCAGAGCCTCGGCATGGGGAGATTTCTCATCAGATCTGTCCTTTCCCTTGCTACGCCTGGGAAAGACCTTCATTATCCACCTCTCTCTTTTTCTCAGCTGATAACGTTTCTTTCCACCCTCACACAGTCAAGAGACAAAAGCCTGCCCTTCCCCATCACATCAGAAGAAAGCTGTGAATTCTCCTATTCCTCCTCAGCCCCTCACAGGTCACCCCATATTCCTGCCTTCCGCTAAGGGGGAATAGCATCGGAGGCAAATAAGTCCAAGACTTCAGGACCTCTCAGATTCCTTCTCACTTTCCCCTCCAGAATGATCTCTGAGGACAGGGAATCTTAGCTGGAGAACCCGAGAGGACCCCCTAGGGTGTCCAGGATCCTGGTGAGGTTGAACGTAATATTGTGCCCAGGTGTATTTCTCTAGGGAAGGTAAATGCAGCCTGTGACGGTCAGCGGGGAGAGAGGTGCGAATGGGTTCAGCAAGAACCTTTCTGGTGAAGAGGGCAAGCATATGGCCCCCCTCGACTCCGGCAGGAAGCTTGTCTGGGTCACAGATGGTAGGAGAACAAATGAAGACGGCATGTGGAGGCCCCTCTCTCTCTCTCTCTCTCTCTCTCTCTCTCTCTCTCTCTCTCTCACACACACACACACCTTTTGAGTTGTCTCTAAATTTGCTAATGAGCCTCGGTCTCTTTGGACCAATTGATGTTACCAAGAGCGATGTCACCAGGAGCCGCTCTTCAGTCTGCAGATTCTACAGCGTGGGGTGCCGAGGGGAGAGGGGCAGAAGGATGTGTTGGTGGGAATGCAGGTATTTGTCCAAACACGGAAAGCGAGGGGAGGGAGAAGGAGAAAGAATCCTCGGCGGGGCTCCAGGCTCGGCTCCTTCGTGGCAAATGCTGGAAGCACGGTTTATTCCAATGTGTGGTAACAAGCACCAGAAAACAACACACAGTGTTCTCCTCCCGCCCACGCAGGCGATCAGAGACGGGAAACCTGGGGCCACGATGGTGAGGAGAGGTCCTGGGTGGGCAGCCGGCGGGGTCAGGGTTTACTAGGGCAAAGGGCCTGCCTGGGAGCCTCCTGCAGCAGCTGGAGAAACCAGACACCTCCTTCTACCTCTGGCCCCACTAGGCAGCACGGTGCTGCCAGCCCTGGTTGGAGGGGACATGGATCCTGTGAGGACAGCCCTGCCCTTGGGCACCCGGCCTGGCCCTGCCTTTCCTCTTAGGCGGGGGAGAGAGGCCGTGACCTAAATCAAGGTCTCCTGGCTGACCGGAAGCCAGCCTTTGGAGGGGAAGTGCTGAGCTAGGCGTCCTTGGCAGGAGGGCACCCACCCTCTCCCCGCGGACGGGCTGGTGGCTAACTTCGGCCCCCAAAGGAGAGCACTGTATCCATCACATTTTAAGTAAATTAAAAACACGTACACAGAATCCAAACAAAAGTTCCAATAGAAGCTGCTCGCAGACACCCCCACCAGGGGCCGGCTTGAAGAAAATGAGGGTCACCCCTTTGTTCTCTGTGTCTCTGGGGCTGCAGGCAAAACTGTGTCCCTCCTTGTCCTCGAGTGCCCGTGGGGGGTGGGCACCTCAGGGCAGAGAGAGGTTCAGACTTAGACACACTCTCATCCCCGTAACCTCTCTTCTTTCCTCAAATCCCTTTCCCCGAATCTAAACGCAATGGCCTAAGTCTTATACCCAAGGGCTCTGCGGGATTTGAGGGTATAAATCTACCCCCTTCAAGTGAGGGAGGGGGACTGTCCCCAGAGAAGAAATGGTTGGCACCCCAGGAATGCGCATGCTCCTGTGAATGGCGTTTAGGGGGCTGAGGAGGTTGGAAGGGTTGGCTCAGTCCTAAGCAGACACTGGCACAGGGCACATTCGCCTCTGAGATGATAATGGGGTAACTGGCACTGGGGTTGGAAAGTGGCTGGACTCATCCTTCTTCATCCTTCTCTGGGCAACAGCCCTATGGCCAGGGCGAACTGGGAAGAAGCCGGGTGGGGCACAGATGGCCCTTTCCCTGTGGGCACTGGCTCTTAGGCTCTGGGGTTCAGAGAGGAACTGAAGGAGGTACCAGGAAGAGGAGACACACCAAAGACAAATATGGAGCTGGGTCCCGAAATGAAGAAGCACCAATAGCATCGGCCTGCCTGGACGGGGTGGGGCTGGAGGGCCTGGGAGAGGTGAGGCGGGAGGGCAAAGGGCGAGGGCACCGTCCATTTGTGAGGTGAGAAGGGGAAGTGTGAAAAGGGGGGGGCAAGGACGAGGGGGGTGGGACAGAGAATGAAGAAGTGGGCCCATCCATCCATGTCCTGGGTCCGGGGCAATGTGGCCTCATGAATGGTCCTTTGGGCCTTTCCAGAGCCCTTGTCTGGCCCCACAGGAATGAAAGGAAGGCCTGGCCAGGCTTGGGAAGGACCTTGAATGCCTCAGACCCAGGGGGTAGGGGGATGGGCAAGAGAGGTTGAGGGAAGGGCTGTGTCCCAAGTGTGAGGCCACGCCCAGGAGGGAGGGCAGGGCGGGAGGTGAGGCGCTGAGGGCCAGTGTGAGTTTAGGGGGCTGGTAGGAAGAGCCCCCGGCTTGGAGGGGCAGGAGAGAGGGCAGGGCGGGAGGTGAGGCACTGAGGGCCAGTGTGAGTTAGGGGGCTGGTAGGAAGAGCCCCCGGCTTGGAGGGGCAGGAGGGAGGGCAGGGCGGGAGGTGAGGCGCTGAGGGCCAGTGTGAGTTAGGGGGCTGGTAGGAAGAGGGCGGGAGGGAGGGCTGGGGGAATAGAAGAAACTGACTCCCCGCACGTTTCCTGGCTTTAGTTGCTTGAATTTCAATGCAGTCGCAGTGTGTCTGCTCCCCACTGAGTCTAAGGCATCCGGACCCTCTGAAGGCCCTTTGGCTCCCACCCGGCGGGCTCAGTGGGCGGCAGAGGCCAGAGGAGAGCGGGCAGCACGCTGAGCCAGGGCTCTGTGGCGAGCAGTGCAGGCACGAGGCCCAGATGGCAGCCATTGAAGAGGGGTCTCTACAGCACTGGTGGGCCCTCCATGCGAGGGGCCAGGGAGAAGGCTGCCCGCCAGTTTCCCCTCCCCTCGCTTTTATTGCAGCCGGACAGGTGGAGAGAGGTGGCTGCTGGGAACCAGTCTCAGGGCTCTGGTCTCCTGCCTCCAGCCCTCGCCTGCAGCAGAGGCCGTGAGGGTCCCTACGCCCCTGGGTGAGGTGTCCAGGTCCCGGCAGCAGACAAGAAGCACTGCGTCCCTGCCACGGGAGGGGCTCCGGCAGAGGAGGGACAGGAAGCCACCGGGAGGGAGGGCTGCCCACCCGTGGGTGACTTCTCAGAGCCCGGAGCCCGGAGGGGCGGGGGAGGGGGTTGGAGGAGCAGGAAGAGGGAGGTCCTGGGAGCCGAGGTGGTTGAAGAGGTGCGTCCTGTTCGGGAGTGGCCAGGCGGGGGCTGCTTACTGCTTCTCCACAGCGCCCTGCTCGGCTGCGCCCTCCGGGCCGGGGCCCTGGCCCTGGTCCTGGGCCTGCCCGTGCCACGGCGTCTCCTTGAACACGAACCAGCAGTTCCCGGCCCACAGGAAGAAGTTGATGAAGCCGAAGAGCTGCAAGGACATCGGGGGAGTTTATGAGAAGAGGGAGGAACCAGGAGGGGAGTCCCTGGGGTGGGGCAGGCGGGGAGGGGTACAGAGGGCCACAAAAGCTAACAGAAAGCTGGATATTGAGACAGAGTTCAAGGCCATCACTCACTAAGGGGTTCTCGGGCGAACGTGGCTAACTCTGTGCACACATGGCCCGGCTGTGGCTCGGTCCCTAGGATACTCTGGGCCCTGGGGTGGAGCACCCTGTGCAGAGCTCAGCAAGGAGCACGGTCCTCGTGGCTCTTCCCGCCGCACACGGACACGCGGGACCCAGGGCCCAGGGCCTTCCGTGGGGCGGGTGTGGCCAGAGCTGTCCAAGGTGCTCCTTGCTGAGGGCGGGAAGCCGGGCCAGGGGCCCGGCCAGGGCTCCATTCCAACACTCACTCACAAAATGTAAAACCTGCCAGCAGGAAGCGTTTAGGGGGAAGTGTACTGACGCCTGCAATTAGCTCTGAAATGCATTACAAGTAAGACGGGTTGATCGATGGAGAGAGGCGGGCAGAGATGTGAGAGAGCGAGTCTAGTAAAACGTTCCTGGTGCAGGCGAGGTGATGGGTACGTGGGCGTTCATTGTACACGTCTCTCGGTCTGCTGTGTGCAGGAGGGTTTTTACAATAACGTGTCAGCGCGGGGTGAAACCTATCCGCGGGGTTCCAGCAACGTCTAGAAGACTCCCTGTCATGCCAGACGTTAAACCCTGCCTCACCTTGCTGGCCTCCCTCCGGGCGGTTCGGGCCATTGTCAGGGGAGGGCTGAGGCGGCTGGGATGGCAGGGACATTGGAAAAGCTTGAGGCCTCAGCTGTTTACCAGCTGATGTGAAAATATGTCCACATTGTAAAAGCTGGGATGGCCCAAAATATGCATGCCAGCTGGGCCCGCCAGTGCCCAAAGCCCTTCTCCAGCCTGGAGGTCTGAGTCGCTCATGCTGGGTCTGGGCTTCCCTTCACACACACACACACACACACACACACTCACAGATACACACACACACACTCACACTCACACACTCACACACTCACACACACTAACACACACTCACACACACACACACTCACACACACACACACACACACTCACACACACTCACACACACACACACACATACAGACTCACACACACACACACTCACACACACACATACACACACTCACACACACACACTCACACACACACACTCACACTCACACACACACACACTCACACACACACACACACTGCAAAGAGGCAGGAGAGACGGGGCATGCGAGCCTGGAGGTGGGGTGAGGGCGGGGAACGGGAAGGCAGCAGCCGCAGGGGGAGGGACAGGAGGCTAAGGGCTCTCGGTCCTCCCCATCCCGGGACATCTTCCCACAGTCAGCTCTGAGCCAGCAGCCAGCGTTAGGCGCAGCGGCACTGCCTCCGGGGGTAGGGGTGCCAGCCGTGGGGACACCCTCTGTCCTCAGAACGTGCTCTTAGGGCGGCCGGCAGAGGGAGAGTCCCGCCTCCCCCAGCCCCCGGGGCGCAGGTCTCACCACCGAGAGGTTGGCCAGCCCCATGGAGGGCGTGGCACCGTCACTGCACACGGCGTCCTCCCCGTGGCACACGGTCATGGCCTGGGTCAGACTGGAGGGCAGCGTGGCCCCCTTCACGTCCGTCAGGCCCTTGCCCCAGGCGGCGGCGGCCACCAGCCAGAAGAAGGTGAAGGAGACGGTCACACAGAAGTCCTGGAGGGGCAGAGGGAAGGACACGCAGTCAGACCCTGGGGCTCTTTCACTGTCACCAACAGAAGGAATCCGGCCGCCAGAACCACTGCCCGTGCCCTCACACCGAGCTCAGGGGACAGCGTATCGAGGCATCCGCGGGTCAGGGTCACCCCGAAACCCACACGTCTTCAACCCCCCCTTCTCCCTTCCCTGCATTTCCTTAACATTTTTTTCAAAAACATTTTCCCCTTTTTAAACTTATTTTCAGTCACGGTTGGCATACAACATCACATTAGCTTCCGGAGTACAATGAGCGATTGGACAGCCTAGCTTCGTGGCCGGCAAACTGCGGCTCGCGAGCCACGTGCAGCTCTGGCCCCTTGAGGGTGGCTCTTCCACAAAACGCCACGGCCTGGGCGAGTCTACTTTGAAGAAGTGGCGTTAGAAGAAGCTTAAGTTTAAAAAATTTGGCTCTCCAAAGAAATGTCAGTCGTCGTGCTGTTGATATTTGGCTCTGTGGACTAATGAGTTTGCCGACCACTGGCCTAACTGTTCCATCCATCAACCTCTGCTCAGCTGCGGCTGGCGGCAGTGGGGGCGCCCCTACACCTGCACCCCTGGGCTGGAGAAAAAGTGAAGGGGGAGAATATTAATACTAGCTAACACTTAGCTAATTATATACCAGACGCTTATTTTAAAGTGCTCATCCTTTTTTAAATTTATTTTATTTATATTTTCTTTATTGATTGAAGGGAAAGGGAGAGAGAGATAGAAACATCAATGATGAGAGACAATCATTGATTGGAGGCCTTCCACACACCCCATACCAAGGACAGAGCCCACAACCCAGGAATCGTGTGCCCTGACCAGGAATCGAACTGTGACCTCCTGGTTCATAGGTCACCACTCAACCACTGAGCCAGGCCGGCCGGGCCAGAGCCGCTCCCTGATGCCATTGAGCCTCCGGGGAGGAGACCAGGCGAGGCTGGGAGGCTGGCAGGAGCCTCCGTACCTAAAGGAGACAACAGCCAACAGCTGGCCGGTGGGTGCCAGGGTCCCAGGGAGCCAGCAGCTCCCCCCCAGCCTCCACGCCAGCCCCAGCCCCCGCCCCGCCCCGGCCGGCCCCTCACCGCCAGCGGGAAGCGCTTGTCCTGGGCGTAGAGGCCGTGGAAGCGCAGGTAGAGGACGAGAGCGGCCATGGTGTAGAAGAAGGAGAAGATGCCCAGCGTCACGAAGAACTCGGCGGGGGCCGAGAAGTCCCCCAGCAGGCTCATGGTCTTGGAGGTGGAGTCGGGGTCACAGAGCGGCATCTCATACTGGGCTTGGTTCAGCCTGCAGCGGGGGAAATGGGGAGCTCCTGAGCTGGCCATCCCGCCGGGGTGTGTGTGTGTGTGTGTGTGTGTGTGTGTGTGTGTGTCTGTGCTCTCCTCACCCTCCACTCCTCCGGAGCCAAGAAGCGGCTGTGGCGGGAGGGATACCATCCAACCTTGCCTGCCCTCCCCCCCCACCCCCCCACCAGCTCAGCCACAGTCACACTCTGACACGCAGCCCAAATGTGGTGGTGACTGCGCCTCCAGAGTCTCCAGGCCCCTTCAGGCCTCGACCCCGGTATATATAGTCCATCTGCTTCTGGGAGCCAGGCCCCATTCAGCTTCTCGCTGCCCCGGGGAAGGCAGAGGCCACGGAGGCACCTGACGCCCAATTCCCCCATGCCCAGGCCCCCTGTGGGCCCCAGCGAGACAGACAAAGCGGAAAACGCACATCCCAGTACAGACAGGAGGCCGTTCACCTAACGCGGCTGCTGCTGCTGCTAGAAACGCCCGGAAAGGTGGCCCTGGCCCCACTGTCCTCCGGACACCAGGCTCCCCTTCCTCAGGAAGACTGTCCCTCTCCCTCCCGGGCCCGGGGGCTCCTCGTGAGCTCCCACACCCGCTCTTCGGGGTCTAAGTGCTAACACGCTCCCTTCCCTTCCCGCTGGGAGGAGGCTCTGAGGGCGGGGAGACGCGCCCCGGCTCCTGTCACCTCCACCCCAGGCTGAGGGGGTCCTTGCGGTGGCTGTCGTAACACCCAGTGGTTATCTGTGGGCGAGGACGGGGTTACAACCCTGGTCTGGCTGACCCGCCTGGCGTTTGCCTCTGGTCGGTGGGTCTGGAATCCCTAAAGGGCAGGAAGGACCCCGGTCTGGAGTGGCAGCCCACGGGATGGGAGGGGAAGAGGCCCAGCCGGTCAGGGACGGGGGTGCGGCCCCCCGCGCTGCTCACCTGAAGGGATAGCCGAACAAGACGATGATGGCGCTCACGTCCTTGGCGTCGTTGTTGCAGCGGACCATGGCTCCTGTCTCCCCGCTGTAGGAGCCGCAGCACCCGAAGGCGAAAATAGCAAAAAGCTGAGGGAGAGGGAGCCTTTGAGTCCGAGGCCTCCGCCGGCCGAGGTCCAGCCCTCCCAAACCACCTCTGTCCAAGCGGCGCAGATATGGGGTGTGTGTGTGTGTATATGTGTGTGTGTGTGTGTGTGTGTGTGTGTGTGTGTGTGTCGGGGGGTTCCCTTTAATGAAATCCCTCCTGGGGAGACCAGGTCTTCCGTTGGTCTTGCAGCCTCTGGTGCTGTGTGCACAGAACAGGGTGCCGGGCCCAACAGCCAAATGCATACGGCTGCCTGCGAGTGGCGTCCGGGAGGGAAGAGAGAAGCAGCGAGGGTTCCCACATCTCCCCATTGGCTGTGCGTTGGGGGGCCGGCCACCTGTAGCCTTCTCACGATGATGGCGAGCACAGAGCGAGTGAGGCTTTTGGAAACTTGTGGCTCAGAGCTGGCCTTGACTTTCCTCCAGGAGACGCACCTGGAACTAGATTCCCCTGCTCTCACCACCAGGGGGCCTGCTCGGACTTCCTTCCATTTCTTCTTTGAAGCCGTCGCTGCATCTTTACCTCAAGGCTAACTTCCTGCCTCAGTGGAGGCGAAGCTGAAGGGGACAACCCTGCCGTGGCCTTCCCCAGGGGCCAGGAGGGCAGGGTGGTGCTGCTGCCCCCCCCCCCCCCCCACGGCCCCGCAGCAGAGCTGGCTCCTTCCAGCCCCGAGAAAAGCAGCTTCCACTTGTCCTCCCAGCCTCCTCCTCCCCGGTGGTGGTGTCTCCGTGGTAAGTGGTGGATGCTGCCATTTCTCAGGGTTAAGAACCGGAGGTGTTTCAGGCAACGTGAACTGTTTTCTTCTCACTGCACTGAACCTCCGAGTCTTAAGTGAAATGAAATGACCTCATCCCATGATTTTGTTTTTCCTTTTTTAAAATTTCTTGATTTGAGAGGAGAGAGAGAGAGAGAAACCTATTTGTTGTGTCACTTACTTATCCATTCATTGGTTGCTTCTTGTACGGGCCCTGACTGGGAATTGAACACAACCTTGGCATATCTGGATGACACTAACCAACTGAGCTACTCGGCCAGGGCTGTGGTTTTATTTTTTTAAATTTATCCCTTATTTTTAAAAAATATATTTCTTTATTGATTTCAGAGAGGAAGGAAGGGAGGAGAGAGACAGAAACATCAATGACTAGAGAGAATCATTGATTGGCTGCCTCCTGGATGTCCCCCACTGGGGATCGAGCCCACAACCCAGGCATGTGCCCTTGGCTGGAATTGAATCTGGGACCCTTCAATCTGCAGGCCAACACTCTACCCACTGAGCCAAACCAGCCAGGGCGAGGCGTGGTTTTAGAATCTCCTTCTGGAGAAACAAACTTCGATTGGAAAAGGTGAGGAATTGGAGCCTCATCCTCCCACATCCTTGGCTCAGCCCCGTGTCCTTGGCTTGTTCTCCTTACGCAGGGAGCTCCTTCTGCTGATTGTCCGTGTTCTGTAAGTTTCTCTCTGACTCGCCAGGGACGTGAAGCACCTAGAACACAGCCAGTCTGCGTTGGAAACAGTGACGTGCACACTGTCTGGCTAAGGCCCCGACGGCATGGCAGCGAAGAGGCCTGGACTCGGAGACTCGAACCCCGGCCCTGTCACACATTAGCTGGTGGCCTCGCTCTGCTCTCCGAGCCTCAGGGTCCTCACCTGCGAAGGGAGGGGCTTGGAGGAGGTCGGCTGGAGGCCTGTCCCACTCTGCCGTCCTCTCCCTTGCTGAGGGGAAGGCTGTCACCAGCAGCAGCTGCGCCCGGCCCCAGGGCAGTGACTGGTGCCAGGGCCTCGCTCTGTCCCGCCTGGCCTGGCCCAGCCCCTCCAAATGGAACCATGGACCCCCCTTTTATATGTCATGGTGGGCACCTCTCTTTCTAGGAGGTTTAGTTCAGACAAACAAGACCTGTCTCCACTTCAGAAACAACACCACCAGGGCAGGAGGCAGCACAGCCCCTCCCCCCGATGCCTGAGCAGCCTCCTCCGGATGGAACTTCCGGCGGCTGCAGAGCCTGGTGCCATCTTTCTGCCTCTGTGTCATCCCCCGTCACTTCCTCCAAGTCCCGCACGGTGTCCCCGCAGACCTTGTCTCAGAGGCATTCTCCAACCTCTGTCAGCTCGGTGGCTCCCCAAGTCCTCTAAGCAGTCTCTTTATGCCTCTTGGCTTCTGATGTCCAGCTGGACACCTTAGGGCATCATGTTCGAGAAAGCGCAGCACAGATGGATGTGTTTTTGCCCACTGGCTCTTCCGTCCTCAAAGGGCCCCTGTGGGTTCCCTGGGAGGGTAGGTCCGGTCTTCCGAACGTGGGCAGTGGAATGGGCAGGTATGAAACCTCCTCTTCACCAGCATTCCCTTGGAGGGCCCTCCATCGTCAGAGAGGCGATGTTTATTGAGCATCTACTATCTACCAGGAATTGCTCTGGGCACTAACACTCAGAAAGTGAGCAAACAGCAGCTGCTATCCCAGTATGCCTGTTTCAATGAAAGTGAATGAAAATGAAATAAAATTTAAAACAGCTGCTCAGTCGTACTGGCCACACCTCAAGTTCGCAGGAGCCACTTATGACTCGCAGGTGCCACACTGGACGGCACGTCGTCGAACGCTTCCATTGTCATCGGAAGGTCTGCTGTGTCGAGGTGACAGCCTTGAGGTCCTGACGGCCCCGAACACTGACATACGATTCTTTGCTGAGCGAAACATGCCCACAATACCTTTCACCTTAGCCGAATTCTCTTCTCTGCAGATTCTCTGACAGTCGGGAATCTAAACACCTTCTATACCCCTTTGTTAACCAGAACGTGGGATTAAGTCTGCTCCTCGCAGTCCGTGGTGCCAGCTGACGGACGGTTTGCTGCAGAGGGAGGGAGACCCTGCAGGAGAATCGCACAGGTTCGCAGAGCAGAAGAGCAATAAGGATCTCGGAGGTTATCGGGCGCCACGGTCGCATTTCACGGAGGTGGAAGCTCAGTTCCCGGGAGATTAAGTGACTTGCCCAAGGTCACATTTAGCCGACGCAAAAGCCGGGCTCAGAACTCACATATCCTGCTTCTCCGGCCAGTGCTCTTCCTATTGATGCCATCCATTTATCGGCAAGTAATCACGGAGCATCTGCCTGGGGCCAGGTGCCTGAGACTTAAAGGTGAATGAGACTCTGCCTGCTCGCAGGAGTTCACACCAGAAAGGGGAGTGACACACAGACACACCCCAGCATCGCAGTGACTGAGGCTGGGAAAGAGGCCTGGGCTACGCAGGGAGGATGGCAGGGAGCAGAGAGAGATGCCCCTTCCCTCTTTCGGCGCCTGTGCAGCATTCTGCCCTAACTGTGCCCGGTGCCTGAGCCACAGGGATGGCGGGGAAGGACTGAAAACGAGGCTCTGCATTGAGCCGATGGGTCATAAGGACCAGGAAGCAAGGAGAGATGGCGTTCCTGAGACAAGGGGTGGGGGGCGGGTCTCTGGAGTTCTGGTGCCAGCCATACACTGCCCACCACTCCCCCTCCTCCGGCCGCTGCCTCTCCTTTGGGGCGATGCGGAGGGACCTGCCAGTTTAAGGAGGAGGCTCCCCTTTGGTGCTCACGTGCTTGTGGGCATGCTCCCGGGCCCGTCCTGAGAACACGGACATTACTCCTCCCCCAAACCCTACTCCCACCATCATCTTCTCGGCGGCATGGACTCAGGCGGGTGGCTCTCACATTTCCCGCACTCACTGAAGTCAGAGACCCCAGAGCCAAGTAAGTGCCTTTGGCACCTCAAAGGTGAAGTACAGACCCGGGCACACCCCGCTGACAATAATGTGGCTTCTTACGGCAATGTGACTCAGTGATCCAGGAAATCCTTTTGTACCTTCCCCACGAAGCGAGGATTCGGCAGTGACGTTTGAGTAGTCTCCCCAAAGGACAGGGCTAGCTGACCGTGTGCTTCAGGGGGGAAGTTAGGGGACAGGGGAGGTCGGGAAGAGGAGGGAAGGGAACACCCCTCAGACTGCCAGGCTCACGCGGTCTTCTGAATGCTCGATGCTTTACAGATACTGCCTCCTGCAGCCCTCCCTGCCAGCCCACAGGAGACCTCGCCTTCCTCCACAGATGGGAAACCAAGGCCCCTAAGGTTTTACCACTCACCCCACGTCCCACAGCAAGAAAGCAGAGGAGTCTGGATTTAAACCAAAGCCCATCTAACATCAAAGTCTGCCTTATTTTATTTTTGCCCTTTTCTTTACAAACAAACAAACAAAACTAGTTCTCCAACAATTGGTCTGTGCCCATATTATTTCATTATTTTAGTATAGACTTAGGGAGACCAGAATTGGAATTGAGGTGAGATCAGTTAATTTTTGAATTTTCAAGACACACTAATAAAAAAAAAATACTTCTTCTCACCAGGATGACGACAGTAAAACCTTTGCTTTTTATAGTAATGACAATAAAAGTTTTCAATTATCAAGATTTGTGGCAGTTGTTTGTACCCCCCCCCCCCCTTTCTAGTTAGGGGCATTTGATCCCTCCAAGCAGGAACTGAGTGAAAACCCCCAAATGACATTGTCACTGTCATTTTTGGTGCTGGCTCCTCAGTGCTTTTACGTTGGCTCATCCGCAGAGGCTCAAGGCAACGAAACGCATGCTCTGAGGACGGCAGTAAAAGCAAGTCAAGTCTCCTTAAGACGCTGCTTAAGGCCGAGTTCCAAGTCCGGCCTTGGGCCCCTGGAGCTAGCAGGACGGGAGAAAGGTGTATCCCCCTCTCTGAGAGATTGGGGAGTCATCAAAGGGTCATCACAGTAGGGCAACTCTTAGGGGTCAGTGCAGCCTTTATGGGAATGTTGCGGGTGTTGGGGGCAAGGGGAGGGGAAAGGCTGGGGGCAAGGAGAGAAGGTTGAAGGAGGGTGCTTTGCAGAAACCCCCCTTGGAAGATGCTTCCATTGTCTGGTGACCTCACTGTGTCCCCCGTGTCTTGACAGTCTCTCTCACATCCCCTTAGACCCATGTGTCTAGTTCGGTGATAAAATGGTGCTCTTCCGTGCCAGGCTGTGCTCCTCTGGATCACAGAGATTACGGAGGCTGGATGGCCCCCTCGCTCTGGACGGCAGCCACCCAGAGCCCTGATAGCATGCTTGTGTGGCCCCCTCCCGTACGTGAGAGGGGCGTCTGCACAGGAAGGGAGGAGGTGAAGCGCTCAGTCAGCAGTCTGTCCAGTTGCTCCTGAGACAGCAGGCAGAGTGGAAAGTCCCCACCGGGGCCCAGAGTTTGCACTTGGAAGCTCCCCAGGCTGGCCCGGAGCCCCAGTCAGGGTCTCAGATATCCACCGATAACCCCGGACGCACCAGTGCCCCTGACTTCCAGCTTGGATGCTTCTCGTCCAAACGGTGGCTTAGGAATTGGTGACATGGCGCTAGCTATCTCCCGTCTTCCGTGAGTTAAAAGCCCCTTAGAACTCAGTCCTCCCCGGGTTAACAGCAACGCGCTCCCTAGCGGACTTCTGTGCTGAAAGCACATTGACACGTGTCTCACACGCCATGTGGTGTGTGGATCGTCCAGCTAAGATCTCCCCTGTGACAGAACACCAAATGCTCCCAGCAAGCCTCCATGATTGGAGAGAGTGCCTGCACCTGTCCGCATTCCTCACTTAGACCCAGCAGGCCTTGGGCGCCGGGAAGGACAGAGAGCACAGCGGTGCCTCCAAGGATCAGGGAAGCAGGGCGATTGTATTTGCCCTGGACTGTTACGGGGGAAACTGAGGCCCACGGGGTAGGGCTAAGGAAGGGCACCATTCCAGCACGCGGACCCACTGGGAGCAGAAGGGGACTCTAGGGCTGTTGGGATCAGCATCGGATGAGTGTTGGAAACTGAAGTCCAAGGTCATTTGGCTGAAAAGGCAGGTCTGGGTCTGGAAAGCAGGGCCCCAGCTTCCCAGCGTAATGGATTATATTATTCTACAAGCTACGTTTTAGCCACACTGAGGTTTTTATTCTATCTTATTTTTTCTTTTATTTAGTCCTGGAGTCATAAACTCCATTCATTCATTCATTCATTCATCCACTCCCTCACTCGGTTACAGGAACCCAGATTACCCTTGTGATCTCAACAGGGCACCGGCCAGCCGGGACCCTGTCCCCCGAGTGCACCTGCAGGCCCAGCCAGGTCCCGGTGGGTTTGGGTGCGGATGGTTTCCATCCTCTGCCTTCCCTCCCTCCTCTGGCATTCCTCCTCTCATCCCCCTTGCCCTCCCCCGCTCCTGCCACGGAGGAGTGGTATGTGCAGGATCAGAGTTCTGGAAAGGTTACACTCGGGTCCTCTTGCCCCGGTGAAATGTGAGCGCCCTGGGCACAGGCTCCTTGCACATAGAAGGACCGAATCCCAGGCTCCGCATGCCTCGCTGCCCAGCCAGCCCCAGCCCGCCCCTCCCCCGCCCACCTGTCGCTGTCCCCTCCCGTCCGAGGCTGCTGGCCGCTGGACCTCCCCGCGGCCCCCGCCGCCCCCGCTCCGGCCCCATTGCTTCGGGTCAGCGTCACGGCCCCAGGCGCCCGAAATAGCCCGCGGCTTGGGCGGCCACTCACCCACTGGAGAACTTTGATGAAGCCCAGCGGCTCCTCCAGCCGCCGCCAGCGCAGCCCCGCGATCAGCTGGTCCACCTGCCAAGAGAGGGAGGGAGGTCCCGGCTCAGGGCATGGGGGACCCCGGGAAAGCGCTGCCTCCCCCTCTCCTACCCACGTCCAGGAGAAGGGACAGAGAAGGGTCCCAACACACAGGTGGAGGGGGGCGGTGCGAGCCTCAGGGGCGCGCGGAGTTACCTGCTGGCGCCGCGACTTGCCCGCCGGGCCGCTCGCCGCCGCGGTCTCCGTGGAGGACATGCTGGCGCCGCGGGGCCCGGGCGCTGCGCGGGGGCTCGGCTCGCTGGCCCGGGGGCTGCGGGGTCCGCGGGCGGGCGGGGGACGCGGGCGGTGGCGGGGGGCGCGCAGTCCGCGGCGGCCCGGGATCCAGGCTGGCGGGGTGGGTCGCAGGCGCTCGCCGGGGCCGCGGCCGCCGCGCTGCCCCTCCGGCTGCAGAAAGCCCCCGAGGCCGGTGCAAACTCCTGTCAAACTCGCCAGCGCACTCGGCCGCCCAGTCACGTGGCGCGCTGGGGCACCCTCCTCCCGCCCCCCGCGCCCCTTTTGCAGCCCGCAGGGCGCCTTAAAGGGACCTGTGGCTCCTGCGGGCGGTTTGGCTGAAAGGGGCGCAAGGTCTTTGGCAGAAACTCAGCGCCGGACGCGAGGGAGACACCGCCCAATCGGAAACTGTTTGGAGCTCTGGGGCGCACAGACTCCTCTCCTCGCTCATCTTTCTGTTTCCCTGAATTTGGAGCCTTTTTTTCCCCTCTTCTTTTTTTCTTTTTCTACATCACCGTACCCAGAACCTCAGGGACTTCGAGAAGGCATTACCAAAGCTGCAATATAAACCTAAGGGTCTTCTAAGCCTTGCGCTTAGCAAATCGCTCGCTTCCAAAATCTTGGAGAGCCAGAGCAGACGACAAGGGCAATCGGATACAAATGGCTCATTTTTCCCCCTTCATTCTGTCTAGTTAGACGTTGCTTTAAATTTTCTTTTTAAGCAACAAAATGCATTTGTATGCCATGATTTGAAAGTGATGAATCTTTTAAAAATATAAACTCAGTCTCCTTTAAAATAGCCATCTCGATTTGCATGAGAGTGAAAATCAAGTCTGAGGACCAGGGGGCTCAAAGAATGTCCTTGGTGCTGAAAAGCTGGCGTTCTTGCATCCTGTCCGACCTTAACCCGGCCCCTGGCTTTCGGAAAGGATGGGGCTTCTGCCGGATCGTAGAGGGAGGAAGTGAAAGGGTAAGTGACCTGTCCGAGGTCACTGAGTGAGCCGGCGGGTGGTGCCAGCGCCTCACAGTCATTCTTGAGGTTCCCTCGGGTCCCCGCAGGATAACTGCTTTTTGAACAAACATTTAGCTACTCATCAATGCCTGCCCCTCCGAGTGAGTGCCTTCTCAGGGCTGGGTTAGGAGGGAGTGGCCGGGATTAGGTTGCCTGGACTTGAAGGAAACTTCCCCAGATTGCCAGGCAAATCTAGGCTAGATAAGGAACAGCTGAGTCCCCCATGCAGTTTTTTTATTTTTAATTTTTATTGATGAGAGAGAGAGAGAGAGAGAGAGAGAGAGAGAGAGAGAGAGAGAGAGAGAGAGAGAGAGGAGCATCAGTGATGAGAATCATTGACTGCCTCCTACATGCTCCCTACTGGGGATTGAGCTAGAAACCCTGGCATGTGCCCTGGAGCAGGAGTCAAACCATGATCTCCTGGTTCATAGGTCGACACTCAACCACCAGCCAGGCCCAATCCAGTTTTTAATAAATTGTGCCACAATCTTAGGTTTCTTTTCCACGGAATAGGGATAATCATTTCTGTCCTACTTTCTTGCACAAGGTCATCATGAGGACTAAGTGTAAATGCCCACACCACACAATATGAAATAGCATTCATTCCAGGTGTCCATGACAATGTGCATACAGAATGTAACACAAGCAGAAAAACGCAGATTGTTTGGACAGTAATGAAGTTCTGTATTCACCCACAGAATAAGAGCTCTCAGATGACTTGTTACTTTTTTTTGCACATTTTTTTTTCAAGAGGAAACAGTCCTTTAAAAAAAAAAAGTCTTTATTGATTTCAGAGAGAAAAGGACGGGGATAGAGAGATAGAAACATCAATGATGAGAATCATTGATGGGCTACCTCCTGTACGCCCCCCATGGGGTTCAAGCCCACAATCCGGGCATGTGCCCTTGGCTGGAATCAAATCTGGTTCCCTTCAGTCTGCAGGCCAATGCTCTATCCACTGAGCCAATCTGGCCAGGGCAGAAACAGTCCTTCTTACCTCTCAGTATTGTAAACAAGAGATTGTAAACAAGAAGGTTCTATGTTACAAAGATAAAAAAACAAACCCACAAAGGAGATAAAAGAAAATGAAAAAATATTAGTTTTAAAGTAAATTTCAAGAAAGTCTTCAATTAGGAATATTGAATTTTCTAATGACACTTGTATTAATCTCTATGGCTCGTATGTTTATAGCAATCAAAAAATACTTGTTTATTTACTCAACGAATATTCTTAAAGCATCTACTATATATCAGCTGTTAGGATGGATAAGACACAGCACTGGTCCTCAAAGAACTCACATGTTAATCACTTTGTTTTAAAAAAAATATTTCTTTTTATTGTCATAAAATGTGCATAACATAAAATTTACCATATTAATCATAGTGTACAGTTCAGTAGCATTAAGTACATTAACATTGTTGTGCAACCACCACCACATGCCATCTCCAGAACTTTGTCATCATCCCCATACTGAGATTTGTACCCATTAATCCCCCACCCCTTCTTCCCTTAGCCCAGGTAACCACCATTCTACTTTCTGTCTCTATAAATCTGACTAGTTTAGGTAATTCCTATAAATACAACCATATAGTAGTTGTCCTTTGTGTCTGGCTTCTTTGACTTAGCATAATGTCTTCAAGCTTCATCCAAGTTGTAGCATGTATCAGAAATTCATTCCTTTTTAAGGCTGAGCAAGTATAGAAAACTGAACTACATAACATTTTCCCTTGTATGTGCATACCATATTTTCCTTATCACCAATTACTTTACTTTTTTATTTTTTATTATAATTAATTTCTTTATTGATTAAGGTATCACATATTTTTCCTCAACCCCCCATTCCAATCCCCCCCACGCATGCCCCCATCTCCCTATTGTCCTTGACCACTGGTTAGGCTCATATGTATGCACATAAGTCCTTTGGTTGATCTCTCCCTTTTATCTCCACCCTCCCTTTGAGGTCCAACAGACTGACCCATGGCTCCTCGTCTCTGGGACTGTTCTTGTTCATCAGTCTATGTTGTTCACCATTTCCCCTAGATGAGTGAGATCATGTCCTACTGGAAATATACTTATAAGAATAAAAAATGAAACAAGCAATAATTGTTATGCTGAAAGGTATATGAATCCGTCTGTAGTGAGCTTCTTTCTGGGCCACCAGTTCTTTTGAGAACCAATTTCAATGCCAAACAGTTCCTTATGTGTACATGTCAGCAATGATATTTCAGTTCTGGATGGTGTACTTTACTTTTTTTTTTTTTTTTTTAACAATTCACCTTTCATTTTATTTCTTTCAAAGAGATACCAGGAGGTTTTCAAAATTACTTTAAAAATATATTTTATTGATTTCAGAGAGGAAGCGAGGGGGAAAGAGAAAGAAACATTAGTGATGAAAGAGAATCATTGATCTGCTGCCTCCTGCAGGCCCTCTACTGAGGATCGAGCAGAAACCCAGGCAGGTGCCTTGACTGGGAATCAAACCGTGATCTCCTGGCTCATGGGTCAAAACTCAACACCTGAGCCATGCCAGCAGGCCTTACTGGTTTCTATATTTGGATAGTGTCTCCAGTCCACCCTGGCTATTCTGCCACAATGTATTTTGCTCCAGGATCTATGTGTTTAGTTCTCCAGGATGTTTGTATTCCTTTCTCAGTTTCTGAATTTAGCTAATATTTTACTACATTCCTTTCCTTTCTGTCTTCTGTGGCTCCTATATTATTTTTTCAGAGGGATACCTGGTCAAACTCTATTTAAAAAAAAAAAAAAGAGAGATCTATTCTCCTTTCTAAAAATGTTATCCTACATAATAAAAGGGTGATATGCAAATTAAGACCAGAATGACAGGTCGCTATGATGCACACTGACCACCAGGGGGCAGACACTCAACGCAGGAGCTGACCCTGGTGGTCAGTGCGCTCTCACAGGGGGAGCTCTGCTCAGCTACTAGCCTGTCTCATGGCTGCAAGTGCAGCGCTGGTGGAGGGAGCCTCTCCTGCATCCTTAGCAGCGTTAAGGGTCCGACTGATGGCTTAGGCCTGCCACCACGTGCACGAATTTTTGTGTAAAGTCAACCGAAAATCGGGGGCAAAAGACCAAAATTGCACAAAAATTACCTGCAGATCTTGACGGCAAAGTAAGTCTTTTCTTTGAAGTGGGGGGGTAGTCTTAACTGTAAAATTAGGGGGTCGTCTTATACACCGGAAAATACGGTACCTGATCTCTAGTTTATTTATATTTTTAATCTTCACAGGAAGATATTTTCCTCATTGATTTCTAGAAAGAATGGAAGGGAGGGAGGAGAGAGGAGAGACATCAATTGGTTGCCTCCCTACTGAGGATGGGAAATCTGCAACAGAGGGATGTACCCTTTACCAGGAATCTAACCTGTGAACCTTTGGTCCATGGGTGATGCTCTAATCACTATCAGAATGGCCCGGGCCGGTCCAACTCTTAATGAAGCAATTATTTATTGAATTGAATATAGACAAGATACTAAACGACGTGCTGGATTTTTATGTCATAAAGTTCCACTTTCTTGGGGGAGAAAACGATATCTCTTCTTACCCAAAATCAACTACCTGCAGCTCCCCTTCCAAGTCCAGAGGATACCCTCAGAAATCTAACATCTCTGACAAGTGCTATTGGAATTTCTCCTCATTTTTTTTTTTTTTCATTAAGGCATCAAACCTCTGGCGAGGGACCACAAAACGAAATTTTCATTGAATTCATGAGGGCAGGACATAAATGGTGGCAAAAACAGATGTCAATACCCAAAAGGCATATTTCTAAATTTCCCCAATCACTGAAATGCCCTGGTCATTTACAAACCTAATCTAGGGCTAAGTAGGAACCTTTGAGACACAGACCTGAGAGGTATCCTATTAATGGGAACTGGACCCTGGCATTTCCCTTTCAGACATACACTGCTGCCCATGAAATGACTTCTTAACTGGTTACCTTTCGTGAACAAATTAATTCATTTACGGTCTTCCTGTGAAGTTGCTCTCCTACCCCAGGGAAGGGAAACGAGGGGCATACATTCGGCCCCGTGGGCTGATTCTTCATGAATAACAGAAAAGGCAGTGAGGCCTCTGATTCCGGATCCGGAGCTGAAATCAGCAGGTCTGAAACCGGCACTAGGGGAGGAGTGGGAGCGGTATGGGGCGCAGGCGGACAAAAGGAAATGCTGGTAAAGTTACCATGACCGCGCCGACACCTGAAGACTCTCGGACAGACTGAAACCCACCCCTTTTCTCAACAGCCACGGTAGCGAGGCTGAAGCGAGAGGACTCGCTCGCTCGGGCCGCTCCGACCGCCTGCAGCGCCCCGCTTCGCGGCCCAAGTCCAGCGCCAGAGCCCCGCACACAGCCCCTGGCGGAGGACCGCGCCAGAGCCGCAGGAGCGGGGATCCAAGGGCGGCTGAGAGCTTGGAGAAAATGGAGCTAACGTGCTCAGGGAGCTGGCGCGGGAAACATATACTCGGGGTTCAGACCCCCAACTCCCACACCTTCTCTAGACGCAGAACTCGCACCGCACGCCAGCGGTTCCGCGCCCCTAGCAACCACCTGCGATTTAAAACGGAAGAACGACCTTTGTCCCGCCCTCCCCGGACCAACCACAGCCTGGCGAGGACAGCTCGTTGGACCAATCAGCTCGGCGGGAACTACCAACAACCAATAGGAGGCAGGCGCAGGGGGGGCGGGCCGAAGGGGTCGCGCGCGCACGCGCAGTCGGGAGCAGGGCCTCGGTTCGGCGGCGGTGTGCGGCTGCGAGGCGCCGGTGAACTCGTGTTGGCCCTGCAAGTCCCCGCGTAGCCGCTGCCGCCTTCGCCTGCCCTCGCCATGTTCCTCACCCGGTCTGAGTACGACAGGTCTGTACAGCGGGGAGAAACGGGGCTGGGATGAGGGGTGGGCAGGCCAGGGGCCCGGCCTCGGCCTGGGTTCTGCCGTGTCATGGGGCGCCCCGGGAACCCGCGTGGGGCCCAGCGTGGGCATCTGCCCACCCCGCCGCCCGCTGTGATTCCCCGGGCGAGGCGTATGCCCAGGCGGCCGCCCTTGCCTCCCGCTGAGTCACTGCTGGATCCTCACCGGGTGCGGAAGCGAGGAGCTCCGCTTTGTGCTCCGGGAAGAGGCTGAGGGGCGGTGCTCCGACCTTTAACCCCGAGGAGGCCAGGGGTCACCCTCTCCCTTCTCAGTTCATCTTTTCGCGCTGCCTACTTAAAAAATGTGAACGTGCTGCCCGGAAGAAAAAGCAGCTAGAGACTATTTCCTGGGTCTGATCGTTTCAGCTCCTTTCTTCTTCCAGGAGAGCCTCGTTTTCGATTTCTTAGTCGTGGGCATAGAGCAGCCTTTCCTCCGATTCCGGGGACGTGTAGTTTCTCAGAAGTTCGAAGGCAGGTGTTGGCTGTGCCCGGATAGTGTCTGGAGTCTGATTTTATCGAGACGGGTGTTTAGAGTGGTTCTCAAAGTTTCCTCCTCATGCTGTTCCCACTAGCCCTAGGCTTTTCTTACTTTTTAACGAGTTTAAGGCAAGTTCGTGTAGAAGGCTGGTTTCTAAATCAAAATCGAGATTGTTGTAGTTATTTAAAAGAAAAAAAGAACTTGCAGGGCTTGGGAAATGTTAAGTCATGTTACATTGCACATATGCTGCAGACACTTTTACTTTCAGTTTCTGTTTTGATCAGTTGAGTTCAAACATAACTTCCCCCTCAGCCCCCAGCCTTTTTCTTTCTTTAAGGCTAGGCAGATGTTTTCTTTGTCCTAGGCTGGAGAAGCTGCCTTTATCAGTTATTCGTAGACCCTGTCAAAAGTTTTATCACCCAGAACTACATTATCCTTTTACTGACTCAGAAGATGTATGAGAATTTTTAAAACTGACATCTTTTCCTCCTGTCCTGTAAAATGACTCTGTTAATCAACATTTCTCTTCCAGAGCACTGAAGGTTTACTTAACATCTTTATTGCTGCTTTATGTTATTCATTTTTGTATCTTCCCAAGAAGAGCTAAAGTATAGTCAGTTTTGTTTAAAACTTAGCTAATGTATTTGGGTGTTTGCTGTGTATAAGGCACTGTTGTAGTTGCTGGTCATGTAGCAATGAACAGAGTCAACATCGTTGCCCCATATGGAAGATTGTCTTTTAAAGAACTACTAGAGGCCTGGTGCACGAAATTTGTGTACAGGTAGGGTCCTTAGGCCTGGCTGCTGATCAGGGCTGATTGGGGGCTTATAGCTGCCGGCTGGGGCCTTCCGTCATTCCATGCTGCCCCTGGTGATCAATGCACATTATAGCAAGCAATCAAACCCCTCCTCCCCTTCCTGGTCAAACTCCCGAGGGACACTTTGCATATTAGCATTTTGTGTGTGTGTGTGTGTGTGTGTGTGTGTGTGTGTGTGTGTGTGTGTATATATATATATATATATATATATATATATTGACAAAAGTAACTACAGGATGAATCAGAAATGTATTCATGTCGTTAGAGAAATTTGAATCAACACTGGGAATTCAGTATTAGGGAATTGGAAAACTTCACAAAAGAACTGGTATTTAAAATCTTGAAAAACCAAGATTTTAATAAATATGACAATAGTTTTGAGGTATAGAATATAGGGTGTACAAAGAAGAGGTAATGGGCAAGCAAAGTGCATATTTGGGAAATTCCAGTCTGTCTGGTATGTAATACATGTATGGTAATGGAGATATGAGGAACATAGGATGGTACTAGATAGTGCATGGTTTTTAATATGAAGTTAAGGAGTTTGGGTCTTACTCTGTAGATAACTGTGCCATAATTTTTGTTTTAAGAAGTTACACAGTCATAATTGTTTAATAGAGATTAAATGACTGGATTAGGGGAAAGAGTGAGTCAGTACCAGTTAGAACACTATTGTACAATAATAGGTGAAAGGTAATGAGGACATTGAGAATGGAAGAGAGTGTTGAGTTACTGTGTAGGAGGAATTGATATACATTGATATTTCTTGGCATATGGTTGATACTAAAGGCCTGGTGCATGAATTTGTGCATGGGTGAGGTCTCTTGGTATGGCCTGCAGAGATTGGCTCCCAGCTCATGCCCCCAACCCTGCAGCCAGGTTGCCCTGCCTGGCACCCCACCCTGGCCCCTCACCTGTTCCACCATCCCGCCTGTGGTGCTGGGCACCCCGCCTTGGCACCATCCCACCTGTGGTGCTGGGCCCCTCACCCAGTTTACCCGCTCCCTGCTGCTGCCACTGGTCTCTGCCTGCCTAAGAGTGATCGGGCATCCACCATGACCTGGCGCAGCCTGCTCACCATAGGATTGTTTTTGAGGATTAAGTGAGTTAAATCATTTAAAGGTTTGTAACAGTGCCAGGCATATAGAAGTTATGTAGTAAATATTATCCAATTCAACCTACATTATCTGTTTTATATTTTGAGGATTGCAGTTTGTGCATGGGTAGGGTCCCTAGGCCTAGTCAGCAATCAGGGCTGATGGGGGCCTCCTGCCTGCCAGCCAAGGCCTTCCTTTGCTCCGTGACGCCCCCTGGTGGTCAGCGCACATCATAGCAAGAGATTGAACTGGTCGAACTCCCAAGGGGGTACTTTGCATATTAGCCTTTAATGTATATAGATTTCTTTTAAAAGAGGAGTTTTTGATAAATTTAAAAACACTATCCTATCCTATCCTATCCTATCCTATCCTATCCTATCCTATCCACATCAAACCACATGTCCAGACTCCATAAACCAAAGATCATAACTATTTTCATTCATTAAAATTTTTAAAGTGCCCATTGTGTGCAGCTAAGACCATTATTGATGCCTCTTCTCCATAGGAATTTCCAGCAGACTGGAGCAAGGAAAGGTGTGGAAGTGTTTTAGAGAAAAGCAATTTGGCATGTAATTGGTATAAATACATATTGAATGACTGAACTAGGTTTAGAAACTACACAGATCTCACTCAGTCTGCTTTTAAGGTAGCAATACTAATTCATACAAATAAAGACAGAAAACCTGTGACTGACTTTTACTAAGAAGTAAGATACTAACATCAAATGTATGCACTGGGAAGAGAATAAGGATAAATGCTCATTTTCTTGGGAATTGCCTGATAGTTTGGGGGCGTGAGTTTTTTAAAGGAGTTCCAGGTTGATTCAGGATTGAGGCAGAAGATCTGTGCTCTCCTTGGATCAGTTTGAAGACTGGGAGTGGACAGAAGTGTTCTCTATATAGTAGGGGTGAGGAACCTTTTTTCTGCCAGGGCCATTTGGATATTTATAACATCATTCACGGGCCTTTCAGAATGATCAATTTAAAAATTAACCTGCTATATTTGGTCAAACATTTAATTTACTCACCCCTAATGCCTTTGCAGGGCCAGACCCAGTAACTCTGCAGGCCTTACACAGTCCACAGGCCAGACATTCCCCACCTCTGCTATATGGGCTTCATTCCTTGAAAAGCTGTTAATGTACCAAAAATAAAAAAGCGAAAAACAACTGCAGATCGTGTGGGAAAGGAGAATAATGATGGCGTGCACATCTTGTAGCCATTTGAACTAGATGCCAAGGAATTTGGGTCTAGCGTCTCTTTGCTTATTCTGATAAATTTCTAATACTTTTTTTTCTTAACTATAGGGGTGTGAATACTTTTTCTCCTGAAGGAAGATTATTTCAAGTGGAATATGCTATTGAGGCTATAAAGGTATAGTATCAAATGGCATGGCTTTTGAAATTTCATGGCAATGTAACCCATGCTGGCAGACCATTTAGAGTAAATGTGTTTTCTGTATTTCTTTAGAAAATTTTCTTTATTTCCCTGTTAATCATTTTAATAATAGTTTCAATCCCATTCCTAAAACCTATTTTAAAACATTTTGAATAGGTCACTGCTTCATAATCAAATAAGTAACCTTTTCTCAGTGGGTTGGAGGCATATGTGTGTTGAGAATCTTATCTATAAAGAGGACCTAGAAGTCCAGAGTTAGCTCCTGGGAGGTATTTCTTAACAAATAGTTTAACTAACCACCTGTATTATTGGTAAGACTGTAAATTTATATCAGACTGAACAAGAGATGTGTAACAAAATCGAATAGTTCAAACCCAGTATTCGAAAAATTAGTTAGAAAACAAGCTGAAGTTCTCATGGGGTACCTATATTTGTTGGGCTCTGGATGATCTAAATTCTGATTTCGGTTTTCCACAATAAGGCCCAGGCGTCAGTATTTGTAAGAACTCTACAAATGGCTAGCAAGGGTTGAGAATCACTGGACTAGTCCAGCCCCTCACTTTGTGCATCAGTCACCTCTGTATCCCTGCAAACAGCTTCTGTTTGTGCAGGCTAGCAACAAAATATTTTCTCACTATATAAATCATTCTGTTTGAAAATAGTTTGTAGTATTTTAGAAATTTATCCTTGTATTGAATTACAAGTCTAACTTCCTGAGATTTCCTTTAATTGGTTCTAATTTTGCTCTTGAACCACACAGGATGTTTTAACCTCTTCCACAGACATTTCCTCACGTGATTGAAGAGAGCTAGTGTGTTTCCTTCCAAGCTATCTCTTCTACAGTGTGTTGGCAGAAACGATTGTCTAAGGATCTGGAAAAGGGGGTTCTGATGAGTCAGAGACGTACAAGTGAAGGAGGAAGCATTGTGATAGATAGTGGACAGAAAACGATGGGCCAGCTTCAGGTGCCTGTTTCTGTATCTGATCATCTCAGCCCTATATTGAAATCACACCTTACTGTGACGTACAAAGACTCTCGGAATTCCACGCTGTGGCATTTATTTCGAGCCTCAGCTAAGACAACCGTTCTGCCCAGATGTGCAAAATTGAGTAAGCCTCAGTTGTGGGGTTCTCCTTTTAGCTCCTCACCGCTAGTAATTTCTAGATTAGTTAGCGATAACGAGATGGCACCTGATCTCCCTGGTCCTAGGTTGGGCTAGGATAGGTATAGTGCTGTGGCCCTTACTGGGTGTAATTTAACCTTTGTGAAATTCAGGCTCTTTGGTGCTTAAATTAGCCTGGCTGTTGCCTTGACAACTTATGAGTAGCTGATGAGAAAGTAGTTTGATAACTGTAAGGGTTTAGTAGTATGAAAGGAGCTGGAGAAACGGTCACTTGGAGGTACTGTACGGATGGCATGGTGAGACATAGCTAACTGGAATGGGGAATGCCTTTAGAGTAGGTTTCTTTGGGGAAGGAGTGGAAATCTGTCAGTGTCAAAAGTATATTACACTGAGCACCTGGACATCGGTTACTGCTATTCGAATGAGTTACATTAAATTACAGAGAGTCAGTTTAGATGTTCCCTCTTGCCCCCCCCCCCCCCCCCCCCCACGGGGAGGGCTTGAAGTTAGGCAGAATTGTAATATAGACACATCTGGAGGTAAATGTAAGTGCGTGAAAGAAAACTATCTTGATTTTGATATATTTTATAAAATAGCCTGTTTATGTAGGCATGTTAAGCATGTTATGCATAATAATTCATGGAATCCTTTGCAATAACAGGCTCCAGGCAGTCATTGCTTTGTAGACCTAACTAAAGATAATGGTAGTTCATTCCAAAGTGTTGAGTTCAGTTCAGGGCAACTTCCCTGTTCTGTTAATTAAACTTTGGGACAATGAAACACAGGCCAGGGGAGATGACCGGATAGAAAACATTGTTCTATTCACTTACCTCCCAGCCTACAAAAATGAAAAAAAAAAAAAAAATAATAATAATAATAAAAATATTTTTTTTAAAAAAATAAAGATAATGGTAGTTCAGAGGAGAAGCACATAGTATTGGAAGGCTTTATGCATGATGGGTGGATTTGGATAGGCAGGGAGACAGCATGGGCAGAGATGCAAGGGTAGAGGGATAACACAGCATGAGAAAATGGCTTGGGCTGTACTTGAGGGTGTTTGTTGGAAAATAATGAGTAATAAAGTTGGGAGAGAGAAGTGGGGTTAGGTTTTGAGAGCTCTGAAAACTTATTTGAATTTGATGTTACAAGCAATATAGGGAGATATTAGTTCTTCAGAGAAGCAGTGTAATAAAAATAGCATTTTACTGGGTCTGTCAGGCCATCAGAGGAATGATAGATAGGGGGAGAGAAATTAAAGATGGGAGACTGAGTAGGAGGCAATTGAAGTAAGGTAGGCAAGTAAGAATAATTAGCATTTGTTGCTTGTTTATTATGTGCTAAATTTTATTTTAAGCATTTTAATGTATTATTTTACCTTCCTTGATGTATTGTTATTATCTCCATTTTGCAGACAAGGAAACTGAGGGGTAGGTAACTAGGAGGGTGGCATGGAGATGGAGAGACGAAATTAAGCTATATTGACTGCTAGTGACCTCGAAAAATTAATATTTTACCTTGGTGGTGTTATTTCTTTTTTCTTTCTTTAAAAGTAAGTTATTTATTTGGAGGTCACATAGATTTGAGGAATATCCCCTTTTGGAACAGATCAGGATAGCAAAGGTGAAAAGAAACCAGGTCCAGAGAAAAGATTAGAGTTTTATTACTTATTTGCCCACTATGTATAGAATTTTAGGATCTGCCCATCTCCAAAATATTGGCATTCATGTTGATAGTTTTTTAGATACTATCAAGACCTTATTGAACTTCCCCTCAAGAATTCTGTAAATCCGTGCTCTTGCCATCAACAGGAGCAATACATTACTGACTAAGGGGGCTCCTTTTAGGTGGACCAGCTATGGCTGATTGAAGGTCTGTCTTGTGAAGAGACACAGACAGATTCCTGGTGAGTATGTGAGACTGCTCTTTGACCGGGACATGTTAACCATAATGTGTTTCTCTCTAGCTTGGTTCTACAGCCATTGGGATCCAGACATCAGAGGGGGTGTGCCTAGCCGTGGAGAAGAGAATTACCTCCCCACTCATGGAGCCGAGCAGCATCGAGAAAATTGTAGAGATTGATGCTCACATAGGTAAGGAGCAGGGACAGCTCTCTGTAGGATCTGGCCTGGTTCATTAGTCTTCTTTGATGTTCCAAGGGGGGTTCATTAGATGAAGGTCTTATTCCCTTGTTAGCCGTCAGTTTCCAGGCAGTAGGCCAGTGTGCATAATATAGGAGTAGGAAGCAATTGTAACGCCCCCTTGCTCCCAGAAGTTCCTTTCCCCCTCACATTTAGACTGCAAATGTGATGGCTGGTGAAACACGTGAAGGTTGAATTCTAGGCCAGCCCCCTATGGCCGCTGGGTCTTTACTGATGCACAGCATTAGCTCAGGTAGAGGCCACCAGGAGCCCAGGATTCTGGTGAAGCAGAGGATGGTGTAGGAAGCTAAGGTGTTCACTAAGAAGAGAGGAATGCTAAGGATCTTCAGTGACTAAGCTTCAGAGAGTATAAGAATAATAGACTTTGACCAGATCAAATAGACTTTGACCAGAAGTCCTCGGCTTCTGTTTTCCAATTTCTTTCTTTCCTCCTTTTTCTTGGTTTCTGTTATAATTCCCTTTCCTTAGCTTCAACATCATTATAGGGAGTAATTCTACTTATTTATAGCATGCCGTTTTAGTTGGCTGTCTAAATTTTCTTAACCTATTTAGTCATCTAATAAAACATTGGTAAAATAATTAATTGCTGGGAGGCATCAGAACCAATGGCGGGACCACTCTGGGAGCTTGACATTCTCTTTCATAGACACAGAAACTGAGATTCAGTTTTTTAAGATTAGAGCATTGTGACAGCTTCACCTCAGGGCACCTGTCTTTTGTAGGCAGGCCAGTGTCATTTCAGTCAACGGATTTAGAGCCTGCTTTGTGCCATCCATCGTGTTAGCCACCAGGGATACAGAGAGGAATGAGACATGGTCCTGTGTTCTGGAAGCATACAGTCTACTCCTGAGCGTTGACACACAAATAAGTAAATGCAGTTAAGCGCCCTAGGTATTAAGAAAGGCTGTCTATGTGCTCAATAGGGGGACAGAGGTGGAAATAATTAGTTTTGCTGAGGCCATTGGTAGTGGGGCTTTCAGAAAAGGTGAGGCCTGAGTGGACAAACGCCCAGTATAGCAGAGCATTCTAGTTAGAGGGAATAGAAACGAGCAGAGCCTTGTGTGAAGGGAAAATGCCCTGGCACAGCAGTTTGATATGACCGGGAGGTGGATGGGCTTGGCTAGCGATGAGTCTGGGATCTGACGACGGAAGTCCTTACCATGCAAAAAAGCTTAAACTCGATCCTTTTGCTTTAAGCCCTGAGGTAATATCCCAGTAGGGTTTTAGAAAGACCCTTCTGGTGACAATGTTGAAGGGAGAGTGAAGGGGGCTGAGAGGAGGCAGGGCGAGCAGGTAAGAAATTTTTAATCCAAAAAGATGAAGGATTTAACCAAGGCCGAGGCCAAGAACGGAGAGGGAAGGACTAATGCCAGAGGGGTTATCACAGAGAGATTGGAAGAATTGGAAATGTGACTGCTTGTGGAGGCCAAGGAAGCAGATGGAGTCTGATTGGAGTCTGCGGTACATCCAAGGAGATGTATCAAGGGAGTCATTGTCTTTATGGGTGTGAAGCCTGGGCGTTTGGAGATTTGCGTCATGGCATGTGAAGTAACAGCCACAAGCTCGTTACCTGGGAACATCAGGTAAACTTCCCCTCCAGTATACTAGATGGCTTGGGTTTGGCCAGGAAAATGAGCTCTGATTTTATTCTAGGGTCTTTCACCGAAGCTCACTGTAAGGTGGCCATTTGTGTCTGTATTTCTCTTGTTGGAGTGTTGGTGTTTGCTTAGTTTGAAAGTGCATCATGGTCTACAAAGAGTGCTGAGGGAAAGCTTTCAGACGTAATGTGTGGAAATTGATGTGTGATTAGCTGTTCCTCTCTGTCTTCTACCTTAATAGCTGGACTTCTGTGCCATTGTGGATGGCTTTTTATTTGTTTGTAATACAATTATACGTGGAGTGCAGAGCAGGTAATTTCCCATCTGATCTCGTGGGTATATTGCTGTGGTTGCTGAATGGCGCCATGGTTCCACTCCAGGATCTCGGGATTTCCTGAGTGGACGAAAGAGCTCTACGTGGATTGGCCGCTGGGTCACTGTTGGCTTTTACATTACAGGTTGTGCCATGAGTGGGCTAATTGCTGATGCTAAGACTTTAATTGATAAAGCCAGAGTGGAGACACAGGTAAAATTAGCATCATCTCTTCTTTTTACCGTGGTGCTTGAGTTCCTGTTTAGAATTGCTATAGCTGTGTGGGCTGCATTGCAGGTATCTGTGTTAACAGCAGATATAGCTCCTGGGCATTGATTTGGGTAGAATCCCTTGTTACAACTTTCAGTGGCTTGGAGACTAGTCACCCAGCCCTCGCAGCTGTAAGGAAGCCCTGGTACAGAGTGCTGACAGTCTCTTGCTGCTTTTTGGTGTGCCTTCTCTAACGCAAGCACCACACTGCCTTCTGTTCCCTAATTGCCTTTCTGTGGGAGCACCACAGCAGGCGTAAGCACAGCTAAAGGACATTCTCCCAGCTGCCTTTGCTGCTGGGCTTGCACATGGCAGCTCTCCTGTGGTGAGCAATGAGAGGTACCAGGTGACAAATGCTGGTGAGGAACATTGATTTATTTTTTAACTGAGCACCTGCTGCCTGGAGAACAGACTAGGAAGAAAAAATACGTGATGGGGAAATTTTTTGCACTTATTTGCAAATTTGCTGTCAGTACTTATGTGAGAATAATCTAAACACCGACAGAACGATAAGATAGGCAAAGTGGCCCTCAGCTGTTAGCGTTCACTTTGTGAAAAGACTAACTTGGTGCTGTGAGGGGTTAACTGTTATTCAGGGAACAGTCCTCCAGTCCAGCATTACTTGGAATCCTTTTGGTTAAAGCTTCTCCAGAGCTATTTCTCCTCCTCTCATCTTGTCCCAAGCATTCGAGTTTAGTGCTAAGGAAAAAGCCCTGGAGCTTGAAGCTTCCGTTTCCAAGTGCAGTTCGGGGGAGGGGCGGAGGGCGTGTGTAGTGGGCTGGTGGGCTGCGCTACTGCCCTGCTTGTTTGGAAGATAGACCATGCTTTGCTCTTCTTCCAGAACCATTGGTTCACCTACAATGAGACCATGACGGTGGAGAGTGTGACCCAGGCTGTGTCCAATCTGGCTCTGCAGTTTGGAGAGGAAGATGCAGATCCGGGTGCCATGGTGGGTGTGAAGCTGGGGCAAGTTTTCTTGCTGTTCTTGGGGATTAATTATCTTAATACCTTTTTTTGTTTGTTTGTTTTGTTCTAGTCTCGTCCCTTTGGAGTAGCACTGTTATTTGGAGGAGTTGATGAGAAAGGACCTCAGCTGTAAGAACCATTTTGCCATATTTTTCCTGCTGCTTTTCTGGGAGAATTATTTTACTTTGGGGTGGAGACTGGTAGTTTAAATCAACTGAGAAAATTATTGTAGAGTTATAAAAAGTGAAGAGCTTTTAACTCTATAAAGTTCAGTGTTTCTGTGCTGTTTATACAAAGACAGATTTGGGGACCCTCTGGAGAACTCCCCTATTGGATCCACTGCTAATTCTTTGTTACTATAGTCGGAGGGCGGGCTTTGGAGCTTTGCTTTGGAATTTTGACCCAATCCCTGTCCTCAAATATTAAAATAGACATATCCAAGTGCCAAATTTACATATACTGTACTTCCTTCTAACCCCCCCCCCCCTTTTAAGAGGCTCTTAGTATTCTTTTTTATTTTTTTTATTTTATTGATTTTTTTACAGAGAGGAAGGGAGAGAAATAGAGAGCTAGAAACGTCGATGAGAGAGAAACATCGACCAGCTGCCTTTTGCACACCCCCCACTGGGGATGTGCCTGCAACCAACGTACATGGCCTTGACCAGAATCGAACCCAGGACCTTTCAGTCCGCAGACTGACGCTCCACCACTGAGCCAAACCGGCTTCGGCAGTATTCTTAAACACTTTTTTTTTTTTTTTAAATATATTTTATTGATTTTTTTACAGAGAGGAGGAGAGAGGGATAGAGAGCTAGAAACGTCGATGAGAGAGAAACATCGACCAGCTGCCTCTTACACACCCCCCTACTGGAGATGTGCCCGCAACCAAGGTACATGCCCTTGACCGGAATCGAACTTGGGACCCTTCAGTCCGCAGACCGACGCTCTACCACTGAGCCTAACTGGTTTCGGCTAGAGCCAGCTCTTTCTTAAACACTTTTTAAAAGATTCGGTTTCTCCAGGCATAGAACATCTTTTTTATCTGTGCCTCCATATTCCGGTGGAATTTTCTGACTGCAGGCCAAGCATTTATATTTTTTAGGACATGTTTATTACATAAAATGCCACCACTCTTAAGCATTTTAATCCTCTTCCTTTGGGGCATTTTGCAGGTTTCATATGGACCCATCTGGGACCTTTGTACAGTGTGATGCTCGAGCAATCGGCTCTGCTTCAGAGGGTGCCCAGAGCTCCTTGCAAGAAGTTTACCATAAGGTAAGTAAGCAGTCCCACTGTGGACGTACCACGTCTATTCTGGTAACAATTCTCACCTTTACTATTTTTTAAATCAAGGCTGGTTCATACTGGGATCCCTGCTCATATCAACCCTGAATAGTATTGGTTTCACATTTGTAGGAAATAAGGTACAAAAAGTAATGAAAAAGAGCAGATTTTCTAAACCATCAGGCTCTAGATCATTTAGGAATTATTATTTATAGGATATCACCAATATTATCTTGCTTCTAAATTAAAAGAAGAAAACTAGAGAAGCATAGTCCTTTCCCCTTCTTCAAAGACGAAAGTTGGTGACTTTGTTCTGATTTAAAATAAGACTTTTTCTTTGAGTAAATGTATTCTATTGATTTACCACTAACTTGAATTCTGGAGAAGCTTGTAATGCGCTGTACTTATTGATGTTTGATTTATTAATATTTGCTAAATCGTTTCTTCAGGGAGGCATGGGTGGGCTCTGAAGGAAGGAGGGATTATGTACAATTAATGGCTACTCTTCCTGCCCTCTTTGTTTCAAGTCTATGACTCTGAAAGAAGCCATCAAGTCCTCGCTCATCATCCTCAAACAAGTAATGGAGGAGAAGCTGAATGCAACTAACATAGAGGTATTTTCGGTTTTACTGTCTTTTGTTCAGTATCTTAGCTCCTGTTGCTGAAGGTTGAATAGATCAAGAAAAGTACAGTTTTGCCTTCACTGGTTTGGCTCAGTGGATAGAGCGTCGGCCTGTGGACTGAAAGGTCCTGGGTCCGATTCCGGTCAAGGGCATGTACCTTGGTTGCAGGCACATTCCCAGTAGGGGGTGTGCAAGAGGCAGCTGATCGATGTTTCTTACTCTATCCCTCTCTCTTCCTCTCTGCAAAAAATCAATGAAATACTAAAAGAAAAGAAAAGTACAGTTTTGTATGCTCAGGTCTTAAAAAGTTACTGATATCTTTTGAATAAGTAACTTTAGTAAAGCAGTAATGATAAAAGCCAGAAGTCGATGAGTTACAGAGTGAAAGGGAGCAGATGAAATGGACCAAACAAGATCTGCTGATTCCTCAAGACATATTGACAGCAGAGGGTAGCATTAAAGAAAAGGACTTCAGTCTCTTTAAGGATGGGGAAGAACTTGAAAATACTTTCTGGACTGAGAAGAAACTAGTGGGTAGAAATATGTTAAATAAAAAAACAGGTTAGCCGGGACCGGTTTGGCTCAGTGGATAGAGCGTCGGCCTGCGGACTGAAAGGTCCCGGGTTCGATTCCGGGTAGGGGCATGTACCTTGGTTGCGGGCACATCCTGAGGGGGGTTGTGCGGGAGGTGGCTGGTGGATGTTTCTCTCCCATGGGTGTTTCTAACTCTCTATTTCTCTCCCTTCCTCTCTGTAAAAAAATAATAAAATATATTAAAAAAAAAACACAAAACAGGTTAGATAGTGATGGAAAAGTTCTGGAAGAGGGACGGCATGGTACACGAGAAGGAGTTGGTTCTGAAAAGTAGAATTCATTCAGCTTTGTATGTATGCCATGTACAACGATAGATACCAGGGATACAGACACAGAAAATCCAATGGCCATGCAAGTTGTGTACTGTGTAGTGTAGAGGATATACAGATAATAACAGCTTGGGGTGACAGCAGTAAGAATGTATTGTCACAAGAACATATAACTTAACACTGGGGCATTGGACAAGCTCCTGAAAGAGGTGATGCCTGGAGAATGGATGAGAAGGGTATTCCAGGAAGAGGGATCAGCCATGTGCAAAGGCCTTAAGATCCTATATAATAAAAGCCTAACATGCTAAGTGTCCAGTTGTCTGGTCAACCAATCAAAAGGTAATATGCTAATGACATTTTAAGGCCATTCAACCACTCGCTATGACATGCACTGACCCCCTGAGGCATACAGTTGACTGGTTGACCAGACCACCAGAGGGCAGATGCTATGACCAGTAGGTTAGCTTGCTGCTGTCCAACCGATCGGGGACTGAGCTATAAGGGCTAGACACGCCCTAGAGCCCTCCCATAGTCCCTCCCCGACTGGCCAACCTCCCACATCCCTTCCTGGCCTTGTTTGTGCACTGGTGGGGTCCCTCAGCCTGGCCTGTGCCTTCTTGCAATCTAGAAATGCCCTCGGGGATTCCAGAGAGCTGGTTTTAGCCTTATCCCGCTCAACACAGGAGCTGCCTCCTGGTGGTCAGTGCTGATTATTACTAATAACTTAAGTCACATCTAAATTCCTGTCATATTCATATATATGATGCACATTGACCTCCAGGAGGCAGATGCTCAATGCAGGAGCTGCTGAGCTGTAGTGACTTGCAGCTTTGTTCTTGGATGACGCACCTGGAACCAGAGAGGAGGGAGCCCAATTCTGGGGTGCTTAAATGGAGAACCTCTTTTCACAATCCGGGACTCCTTGGGATGTTGGAGAGCCGGTTTTGCCCTGATCCCTACAGGCCAGGCCGAGGAACCCCCCCTGGGGCACGAATCTGCACCTGGCCTCTAGTTGTTAATAAAATCTTTTCATGGCCAGTCTGCTTTAAAAAAACATAACATTTTTATTAAGTTGCCATATGGACAATTTTAAAGAGAATACCTAACAATGATAATTAACCATTAGTTATTTGGTGCTTATTATAATGTTCTAGGCACTTAAGCACTTTGCATATATTAACTTTTTTAACCATGGATTTAAAAAAAAATGTTTTTACTGATTTTAGAGAGAGGGAGGGAAGGGGCAGGGAGAGAGAGAGAAACATCAATGTGAAAAAAACATTGATCAGTTGCCCCCCATATGTGCCCTGACTGGGGTCCAAACCCCTAGCCTGGATATGTGCCCTGCCTGGGAATTGAAATGACAACCTTACGGTGCATGGCAACACTCAACCAACTGAACTACACTGGCAGACTATTAACACTTAATCATCATAATTATTCCATGAAGTAGGTGCTATTATTACCCCCATTTTACCGATGAAAATTGAGGCATAAAGTGGCCAAGTCATCTGAGGTCACATACACAAACTCAGCTTGCATGTGTGTAAATATGCTTTTCTAAAGGAACCTTTAACAGAAAAATATACTGACTCCATGTAAGTGGCTGCTACTTTTTGTGATCCTTGTTGAAGTAATTTCAAGAAGTGACCATGACACCAGGCATTTGGTTAACTAAGATGTGTGGGTTAACCTCAAAATAGAAAATTTGGTCAATGAGAATTTATTTTGTAGCCAGAAAACTATTTTCGGAAACAGCCGCCGGATAGGATATCCCTGGGACAGCAGATCCCTGAGGTCCTAGTGACCAGCTGCATCCCCAGCACAGCGTCTCAGGGCCATCAGCAGGCTGGCCGAGCCCCGCTTATTAACCCTTCACTGTTTTCTTTCCAGCTAGCCACCGTGCAGCCTGGCCAGAATTTCCACATGTTCACAAAGGAAGAACTTGAAGAGGTGATCAAGGACATTTAAGGAATGTGATCCTCAGAGCTTCTCTGAGACAATTTCAGTAATCCTGGTTGCCCTTAACTTTTATTTCCAACTTCTAGTCCTTGGAAAATCTGCAGCATATGTGCTTTTTTTTTTTTTTTATGATGTCTGTACATAAAGGCAGTTCCAAAATAAAGAAAAACTTAAAATATTTGTTAATAGAGTATTCTCTTCTAATGCAGTCTTTTGTTCACAATGCTTATGTTAAGGATCAAAAATGATAGTGGTATTCATATCCCTATCCTCTCAGAACATCTATTCACAACAGAGTAACTGGATCATGAGTCCTTGGGTGCTAGCAATGAACTCAAAACTAATCCAGATCTTCCCAGTGGCTTAAGGTATTAATACCACTGTAAACCCATTTCGGTCCTGTAGTTAATCTTAAATAAATAGGTATTTTTTGTTGCTTTCCTCATGAGGGAGATGCTACTAATTGACCATCAAAAGAACACGTTTTGAGGTCCTCCCCAAACACTGATGGGTTGGAATAAGCCAGCAACAGTGTTGTTACAGTGTTGTAACTGTTGTTTTGGGATCTTAACAGACAATTGGGAAATACATATATATATATATATATATATATATCCTATATAATAAAAGCCTAATATGCTAAGTGTTGACCAGTTGGCCATTCAACCAATCTCAGCACAATATGCTAAGGCTGGTCAACTGCTTGCTATGACATGCACTGACTACCAGGGGGCAGAGGTTCCAACCAGTAGGTTAGCTTGCTGCTGGGGTCTGGCCAATCAGGACTGAGAGGCCAGACACAACCTGAAGCCCTCCCACATCCCCTCCCTGGCTGGCCAACCTCTGGTGTCTCTCCCTAGCCGGGATCATGCACCGGTGGACCCACAGCCTGGCCTGCAGCCTCTCACAACCTAGGACCTCTTGGGATGTCAGAGAGTTGGTTTCTGTCCCATCCTACAGGCCAGGCCAAGGGACTGCCCCCCCCCCCCATGCACAAATTTGTGCACTGGGTCTCTGGTATGTATATATAAGACTAAAAGAATTGAATTAAAAAGTAAAATGGAAAAGAAAGAAACAAGAATTGAATTCATGATCTTGGACTCACTGGCAATCAATTAGAAATCAGGAAGAGAGAATGACATAATTCAGAATTAGTTTACATTACACTTTGGAATGTACTATGAACTTCCTCCCCAGTAGAGCTGCCGTTATATGAGACTGGTTGAGATTATTTAAAGAACTGGTCTATGGGAACCTCAAAAATGGCCATATGAAGTAGGTGTTACTGTACTTAACATGAAGAATCTAAGGCTGTGGGACTGGAAACAAAAGCAAGCTGTTGGGAATTGATTTGAACTCAGATTTTCTGGTTTTAAATAACCAATTTGATTTTATAACACAAGTCCCTTGCAACCTAGACATCTGCTCGATTGTAGGGAAATCTCATTGAGACTTGAAATGGACTTGCACTGCCCAGAACATGTGGAAATGGACTAAACATGCTTTAGGGAGAAGTGAAAGTATGTAGGGGAAAAATACTAAGGAGTAACTCTTAGTGTGTCTCTTAGCTTCAGCCTGCAGTGCCTGAGCAGGGTATTTGTACCTTAACACAACTGCTGAAACAATAAATTTCACACCTTTTACAATTCTAATAGAATTCTTGAAATAATAGAATTGTAGCATTCTCAAAAGAGATACAACTTAGCGTTTTTGTAGTGTTTTAAAATGTTCTACAAAGTTTCTTATGTCCAGTTTACAAAGAAATTACCTTAGTAGTACTGGGAAAAGTAATGGTTTTGATACTTAACTGCTTTCTGTTCATCTTTCTGTAATAAAGTTTGGGAGAAACTTTGCATATTTTAATCCTGCAAGTCGGATAAGATTTCATGTGCCTGAGAGGGCAACTTTTGTATTTAGTGCCTGTGTTGGACTGAAATACTAAAACAACATTCACTCATTTTCTCAGTGCTGCATACAAGATACCATGTCCTTAGCAGCTGATAAGTTTTGAGGAAGGAACTATATGTTCTGGAAGCATATAATGATAAGTAAAAGCTACATATTAAAAAGTGAAGGTATAGATAATTGTAACAACTTAATATTTGTTACAAAGTGTAAATGTATTTAGCAATTTCTCCAGAAGATGGCATCGTTGAGTTGGCTTTTTTTCTTCTCAGACTGTAAGACAATAGACCATTCATCTTTGTGTCACTAAACAAAGAAATATTCTTGTATAGCCCCTCTTCTCCCCACAGCTAATCACATGCTGCTGGAACCGACTGTCTTGTGATCTACTCCATCAGTTGTCATAGATTAAAAGTAATCAGTGTTATGAAAAGTAACGTGACTCAGGGTCGTGGATGGAAAGGAACATGTTCACGTTTTTGGTGAGCTTTGTCTTGTCATTTCAGTAACTGAGAACCTGGAAGATATTCTAGTGACTTCTCATCCTGCTCAGATGTCATCCAAAAATATTTTGGTTCTGGGGGGGGGGGAATGTAAATTTGTAAATCTCTGTCCTCAAATTAATGTGACTAGAAGGATTTTACTGTAAACATTGGGTTGGGTGCAGTGCACCATTTTGTCCTACAATGATTAGATTCTCATTTGTGTTTGCCTACAGTTTATAGTTAAAAGTAATTTTTAGCAGCTTTCTCTATCTGGGGTAACGTTTTGCATATTTGGTATCTTTCTATTTGCTGCCTTTTTAAAACAA